CAACAACCACCACCACCGCGACAAACCACAACAATCACAACAACCACAACAACAACTGGAACAACCACAACAATTGTAACAACCACAACAACCACAACCACAACAATCGTAACAACCACAATGGTTTAGGTATGTTTAGGTTCTCTTTTCGGAACACATCCTTAAACATCCTTAAACCATCTTAAAGCACTGAGAATTTCTGGGTGTTCTCAATGAGCAACATCGTTTTGCTAATGAAACAATGCACATCTCACAACTCCTCCCAGGAGTTTTCCCAACTCTGACCAATAAATCGAGACACATCATGTTGTCCGCGTGGATGTCATGAACATGCGCCTGGCTGTTCCCGAAAAAAAGGTTGGGCCCTGCTGGGTCCCCAAGGGTCCCTGGGTTGCCGGGCGATGGAACCGGGTGGGTTTAATCAACAACACTGACAATCTGGGAATAATCACCAAATCAAAGTGATGGTTTGCTTCAACAGATTACCAATCTAGAACATCAAAATTTGACCCATGAGAACTCGTCATCTCAACGAGTATTCTCAGTTGCTGGGATACCATGTGATACCATCGAGGGTTTTTTTTAGGACCAGAAACACCGTCATTCCGTGCTTTTTTCAAACGCCGCACTAAAACGTCCTGTGGGAATCAGTACTGTTCAATGGGAGATCTCCAGGATCCAACAGATGGAGGTACGTAAACGCACCATATTTTTGGCCATATTTTGGGTGTATATTCCCTGAAATTAAGGCCTGATATAGGCCTTATATATGGTAGGTACATGTAGGTACCTCCATTTTAGGATCCTGAAATGGCCATTGACATGTTATCGTCTCCATACCATCTGGTTATCTAACACAGCTATGGAAAGCCAGCACTTTTGATCGGTAAATCATCCAAAAAAGGCTATGTTCCAAAGCCAAATTAGATTTCCAGAGGTTACATGATCAACATAATCTTCTATATCTTGCTGAAAGACAGAATGCATCTTCCCCAAGACTACCCACTGGCTACCCACTGGCTGATGATGATCATCCCCTGACGTTGGAATTTACTCAATATTTTTTACATGTTTAAACATATTCCCACACACACAAAACATGTGCCGATAGGTTTATATATTTTATATTGTCCTTACACGTAAGATGCAAACCGTTTTTGAATTTTATAGCTGGTTGGTGGTTTCAACCGTCTTGAAAAATATTAGTCATTGGGAAGGATTATCCCAAGTATTACGAAAAATGAAAAAATGTGTGAAACCACCAACCAGTTATAGATTCTGTTGCTGAAAATCTGAGCCACTCCACCACCCCGAAAGAAAGAGATGTCTATCCGACTACGCGCCTGGCTTCGCGCGAGCTTCGTGTTCCCAAAGCTGACGGTGGCATCAGGCAACGTCTTTTCAGCCTCGGCAAAGGTCGGGGAACGTCAAGGTACATCAAAGTACCAGATCCCAAAAGATCGATGGACATTCATGAACAGTAATTAAATGTTGCTTCCCAGCATTAAAAAAAAAACAGTGCCATATGGGACAATTTTTGATACATTTCCCAGTGATTTTTGGGCGACGATCATGAGATATGGATGAGATGGGATGAGTAAACCCAAATATAGTGCTGGTTAGTGGTATACCGTATACCTACCTACCGTATACCAACCCCTCTGAAAAATGATGGAGTCAGTTAGGATGATTATTCCCAACTGAATGGAAAAAGAAAAATGTTCCAAACCACCAACCAGTTATAGGCAGTGATCCATGACCATAAACAATGATGTTCCTTCGTGGTGTCCACAGTTTCAGTGAGGACTTGAAAAATGAATGAGGGCGAGGTGAGCTGGAACCGCCACTGAGTCACTGATGGTATTTGGCAACAAAACACAAGGGAAGATGAACTATGGCATAAGAAGGCCATGAAATCTTGGGGCACCCTAGTTTTAGTCAAGGCCTTGCGGGCTTCCCATGCCCATTTGGGGAATCAAAGGTACAAGAACAGCGATGATCTGCACAACAGAAGAGAATGCCCCCCAAGACTGGATCGAATACTAAACCAAGACTGGTGGTCCATTTGAATTGTTTGTGTGTGTGTTCAAATTTAGGTCCCCATATGTGATATTCCCTAATATGTCGTTGGCTGTAAACCAATGTTCTTCAGAATCATCATAAGGGTGGAACTCCTCACATCAACACTGTGTTTTCAATACTCTCTGGTAATTTAACGTAGCTATTGAAAATGGCCATAGAAACAGTGAGTTTTCCCATTAATAGCATGGTGATTTTCCATAGTTTTTTGTATGTTTACCAGAGGGTAATTGTCTGAAGATTTCGCAAATCTTCTCTAATTATTGCGCTTGCCTTAGCAATGATTCCCTTGCATTCACCATTAATTTACCGTGCCTGGATGCTGAGCTCATATAATTATCTGATTAAATTATATCCCCACAAAATCTACGCATTCTGATTCGTTTTTTGACAAAGATAAAAGAGTCAAATACCCATACAAATCGTAGTGGCAAATTTGTGTTCCATCTTTTTCGGGAGATACCAGATACATCCATATTATCCATATACATCCATATACAGCATAACCAGTAGCCAGATTTACTGCAAAAGTCGGCTTCTGGCACCTGCATGATGCCGCCGCCTATGCCGCTCCCGAAAAAAGCGCCCGGTGGGACTTTGCGGCGCGGGGACTTCGCGGCTGAAGCAAAGTGGCAGTGGCAACGTAAAAGCTACGGGGGTGGTCCATTGGTCAAACATCACTGGTGGTTTAAAGCCAGGATGAAACATTGAAACCGTGGAGAATAGCATTTTGAATCAATGTCGATAGAGTATTTGATTATTGTTGATCCAGTTCTAAGATATGTCCATGGAGGAAAATACTTGTTTGGAATACTTTCAATAGTCGGTTTTAGTTTGTTGAACATACTTCAAGAATATTCAAAACCCTGTTGTTTGCAAATCCGAGAATGTTGTTGACTGAAACAGCCACCCACCAAATATGACTATAGATACTAAAGGCGCTGATATGCAACCACCAGCTAGTGTGAGACCCTACGAACCACAGATTTTGGCAAGTCAAGTTTTAGTATCAGTATCAACTATGTTCATTCCGGCAAACAACTTTTTGACATGGGAATATCGAGATGGATCATGCAAAATTGGGTTGTTGACATCAATAGTCATGTCCAATAATCCGTCAACATAAACATTCTAATTGATCACAATTATCCATCAGCAATAATCCTAATAGTTCATCAACCACATGAACAACGAACTATTATTGTTGTTGACATCAAAAAACAATCAAGCGAGACGCTACAAAGACATGATCAGTCGGTGCTTTAGTGCCTCCATGCACGTTCCGTAATGATGCAGTGCGTTGGTTTAAGCATGAAAACATGAGGATATTGCTTAATTCACCCAAGATTTACCCTCTGGTAAACTAACATAGCTATTGAAAATGACCATTTATAGTGAGTTTTCCCATTAAAAATGGTGATTTTCCATAGTTTTTTGTATGTTTACCAGAGGGTAAGCACCCAAGAAATTTCAGGAACCCCCCCCAAAAAAAAAGCTGGATCTGGAAGATCTCCGGGCTCCAACCAGATCCAGCGTTTTTTGGGGATCCAACAACGCTGGAAAAATGGCAGGAAAATCCACCAAATTTTCACGGCTATTACCCTCTGGTAAATTAACATAGACCCTGACAGATAGGGGTTGGAAGACTAGTTTCCATTAAAAATTGGTGATTTTCAGGGTCTATGTTAATTTACCAGGGGGTAATATATGTTCCATCCGTTGGGGATTCTCCACGATTCACCAAAAAAAAATCCGAAGATTTTCCCACACACTTGCTCAGAACCTCCATTTCATGATTTGGTTTGGGGATTTCCCAGTCAGATGCTTTTGGTGACGCCGGAGGGTAATCGGTTTATTGATAAAAATTAATCATTCACCAACCTGAAATCTTTGATGTTGGAAGGATTTATCATCAATGGCTATGGTTTCGTTGGCCAGCGGAGTTAACCCAAGATCCAGATCACCATGAAAAAACAAACATATGTACATATATACAGATATACATGCCTGTATATATATATATGTATATATATATGTATATATATATATGTATATATATATATATATGTTATAATGCCGCGGACGAATAAAAGTTGATTGCTGATTGACTTAAGTAGGCATCCCCAAAACAATGACAAATTGCCATAGCTAACCCCCCAATGATCAAGAGCCGGGTTTCTGAAGTGTGTATTAATTCGGTCTTGTCATTAATGTATCTACAATGTGGTGCCCTATCGCTAGCTAAGTTGGTTTATAACTTCAATAACTACGGTTTATGGTAGATATATCTATAGTTAATGGGGTTTATAAACCAACAAAAACAACTGGGGGGGCACAACCTTGCTATAACGGAAGTCCATCATACCAGGGAAATGTGTGGCCCTGTGGGGCACCCCCCCAAAGTCTCCAAGTTTTATCAAAGAAAACGAGATCTCTGGCCGGTCTCCCGTCGTATTTTCCAGTACCCCAAAGATTTGGGCTTCTGTCGCTGACCATCACAGGTGGTAGCACGCCTAAAAGCAATTTCGTCAGTTGAGCTCTCAAAAAATAATTTTCTTTGCTCAACATCAACTAGTTGGTGGTTCCACACATCATCGGACCCATTTGAATTCTCTATCATCATAGTTAAAGATATACCCATCACATCATGATATTATTAGTGGGTTAATATATTAGCTATATCTAGCTATCACATCATGTATGTTATACCCATCTGAATTGTGGATGATTTGCTGGTTTGCTGCAAACCTGAAAACGCTGCCCATTTGATGTATTGCATGGCCAATGGCGTTACGGCAAACATTACGTCATATTACATTACACTGCGTTATACAAGTACATAATACATAATCTATCATAATCTAACTCAGTAATATAGATATATATATATGATGATGATGATTGTAGATGTATATAATTTTGTTTCTTGTGTGTTGAAACCGCCAGGCATCTATGTTCTTTGAGACACATTGTCTGCAAAGCCACACGGGCCCAGGGTTGCATCGCTGAGAGTTTCAGAAGAGGCTGCATTCCTGGGGCCATGTAGCGAGGTACTCAGACAATAATTGGAGTATCTAAGGTAAATACATGTATATACCTATATTAGATGTTGATGTATACATGATTGTATGACTATACTATACTATACTTTACTATACTATACTTAACTATACTATACTATACTATAATATACTTAACTATACTATACTATACTACACTATGCTATGCTATGCTATCCTATACTATACTATACTCTACTCTACTATACTCTACTACTATACTATACTATGGAGGTACTTATATACATGATTGTAGATACATGATTGTAGATGTATATAGCTAGATATATAACTGATCCATAATTCCAATGAAATTAGCCCATGAAGTTCTCCTCCAATGGCCGACCAAAGGTGGTCAAGTCGTTGCGTGGGCCGGACCTGGGACATCTGGGACATCTGGGACATGTCATGGCGTCGGTTTTGGGCGGGAATCTTTGATGAGAATAGGAAAACCATAGGAAAACCATAGGAAAATTGTGATTTCATGATGGTCTATGGTGGTTTAATGGAATTTAATGGGATCTACCCGGCCTGGTAAACATACACAGTTTGCTATTGAAGCCATGGCCATAGAAAATACTGGATTTACACAGCTAGAAAATGGTGATTTTCCATAGTTATGTAAACGTTTACCAGAGGGTACTACTGTTGATGGTTGCGAAATCCTGCACCTGGGATGGTAGAAATCCTATACAGGGATAAAGCACCTATCAACTGGTGCAGGATTTCTTCCATCCACAGTATCATAGAAATGTACTGTATATAATATCACAGTGTATTATAGTGTATTATAGTGTATTATAGTTACTATGAAAGATGATCATATCCAATAACTATGATGAATAACACATAGTAATAGAGTAATAATAATGATGAAACATAATAATGATCATCCTTACTATTCCCATCCTGTTGGCAACATTGAATGGGAAAAATAGTTATTACTATTGTAATAGTAATAGTGATCATACACATACACAAAAAAACGGTGTATATATATATATATATGTAATGACTGGTTGGTGGTTCCAACCCCTCTGAAAAACATTAGTCAGTTGGGGATGATTATCCCATATATTATAGAAAAATACAAACATGTTCCAAACCACCAACCAGATATACAAATATATTATATATATATATTAAATAATGATGTAATGAAAAAAGCAAACAGCGGCTGTTCGACAGTTATGGGAACCAAAGAAAACTCTGAGTGCATGACGCTATCTGGGCCTGTGTTTTTCAGGTTTTTTTCATGTTTCATGTTTTGAATGAGATTCTAAACTTCTTTACAACATTTAATGGACTGTTTAAAACATATTTATATATATATATATATAAACAAACATACCAGTATGATGATTTTAATTTGCGCAGGCACGAACGAATCCACTGAGAATCAGTACAATCATCTGCAGGATCATTGTCAGGGTCATCCCATGCCAAATCCAAACATGCCCGGCCTGGTAAACTAACAGAGCGAACTGGAAAACCATCATTTTTTGACTGGTTAAATCAACTGGTTGGTGGTTTTTCGCCCTACCCCTCTGAAAAATGCTGGAGTGAGTAACAGTTGGGATGATGAAATTCCCAATAATTGGGAAAATAAAACATGTTCCAAAGCACCAACCAGCAATCTTCTACTTGATGTGTGGCTCTCACTTTCTGCATCTGCCTGTCCCAAATCCTGGTAGGATGGCCTCATTTTGACGTGTGAATCCAGGCTTTTCTTGGGCTCTTTTGGATCTCTAAGGGATAGAGGAAGGGCTATGAAGCGGATGCCACTACCATCCACCTACATCGGCCTTGACTGACCCTATAATAATGCGTGGATCCCAATAATGCCAAGGCAAGCAGCGCAATCCAGGCATCATTGCGGAAGAGCTCCGCAACGGTTCCTTGCGAGGTCGCTAGGTTTCTATGGTTGATGCTCTATAAATAAGGTGCAGCCTGGCTGCTCAGGCTATCCAAAGCAGCCAAGACAAGTTGATACTGGTTGATTTATGATAGAGGGTTTGATTGACTTGACACTAATAAATAGACTTTGATTGGATCAAAGCTAAGGGACATCTAAGGGTACCCCAAAAAATAGGTTCCCCACCAAAGAATGAAAGCCTCAAGTATAAGGATTAACCAGCATAGACACCTATTATGCAGGGTACCCTTAGATTTTCAATGATATGTGGATGATGTAGTAACTCATTCATTGTTCCTCTGTATAGAAAACGCATTCTTAATGTACTCTTCTTGCACGGGGTAAATTGTTCGGCACGCCCACACATCATTCGCCGACTTCATGGAAAGTGCTAAGGAAACCTATGGAACCCTATCGATTTCACATGATTTTGCCATCAAACAAACCAGCTGCTGCTGAACCGCTATCAGCCGTTTCTTTGGTTAAACAACACCCCGGCCTCAAAACCATCTCCAGCCCATTGGTTCAAGGCATCCAGATCACTTACCATGTGGGGAAGGCAAACATACCACCTATTGAAATGATGATTTTGTGAGGGATGGTTTATCGTATTGGGTGGCTCCCACATTAACTCGCTCTAGCCTGTTAATCCACTTGAGAACTAATTCAGAATCATATTGTTGTCTATAAATGTCATCTCATGTTGCTCTAGGCCACGCTTACTTCTTCACTATCAGGGAAACCTGATTTTCCAACCACTTCAGGTAGATCCTCAAACACACCGCCAGGTTCCTTCGTAGGACACCGCCAGATGCTTCCCGTCAACATCTCCAATCCGGAACTTCCCCACCTTTGGCGTGAGTTCGACATACTTCGACCATGTCTTGTACGTGGAACATCGTGGAATATCGTGGAACATCTTAGTATCTAGGACTTATTACCCATATAGGATCCATGGTGCTGGTAGAAAAATGCTAACATAAAGGAGTATGTGCTGATGGGATCTATGGCACACCATATATAGCAGCTCCGTTTGGATCCTATGGCTAGTCCACACAGCCGGATCCAGGGGTCTGATCCCAATAGTTTCATTTTGTTTTCTTTGTTGCTACATCCTATTGACCTATGATTGGTTAAATCATTTTAACATGAATCAGCAACAAAGAAAAATGAGACTAGTGGTTAAATCATTATTGGTCAATAGTCTCATTTTAATTGGTTAATTGGTTAAATCATTCTTAACAAATTACCATGAATCTGGTGTCACCAAATATCCCCCATGGCACAGAACAGCCACAAAAAACTAACCATGCCGAGTTAATGCAAATATCCCGTCATAGCCCCAGTTATGAATGGCAAATCTACCGTTTATTCTAGGTTACCATCTAAAACTGGCCGGTCAATACATAACCTGTGCATCCCACTATATAGGCCCTATCAACAAACCAATACTAAACTGGTTGGTGGTATACCTACCCCTCTGAAAAATATGAGTCAGTTGGGGTTACTATTCCCAATATATGGAAAAACACATGTTCCAAACCACCAATCAGTAACTATGAAACACTGTACATAATGGGACTTTTAGGGGATAAAGCATCTGCCGGTGCAGGATTTCTTCCATTCACAGTAACATGGAAATGTACTGTATATAATATCACAGTGTATTATAGTGTTATGAAAGATGATCATATCTAATAACTATGATGAATAACACATAGTAATATAGTAATAATAATGATGAAAAATAATCAGGATCATCCTTACTATTCCCATCCTGTTGGCAACATTGAATGGGAAAAATATTTTTACTATTGTCATAGTAATAGTGATCATACACATACACAAAAAAAACGGTACATATATATATATATATATATATATTGATATATATATATATATGTAATGACTGGTTGGTTGTTCCAAACCCTCTGAAAAATATCCCCGTTTCATGTCTATCCTTTTGGTTCCCAGCTGAACGGCCCTGATTTGGTTCCCACGCCTGCATGAAGCGATCCCCGAAGCCGACGCCACCGGCCGTTGCGCCACGCGTCCAGAGGGAGAGCTCGGACGCTAAGCCGGGGCCCGCGGTGGCAATGCCGCTGGACCTGGGCGGAAGAAGAACTGAACGGAGAAAAAAACGATGCACGTAGGTGATAGGGATAAATCATATCTAAATGGGTAATATATATATATATTGTAAATGGGATTCCACCCAAACCTGAAACACAAAGTAGTGGTCCCTGCCACTGACAACCAACGAAACTGCGGCCTCGCAGATTCCCTTTTGCACCTCTTGCACCAAGCAGTCACCACTGCTAGATCCGGCCGTCCACGGCCACTGCAAGCCCAGCCGAATGGCTTCAAGGATGTTAAACCCTCCCACCTCTGCGCCTAAATGGGCATCCTGAGCCCAGAAATCCTGCGGTGTTGGTACCGCTCGAAGACTGGCCTGAAAGAGACCCGGGCATATGCTGGCGAAATGAGTGGATTCACATTCCCAACATTTCAATATTTTTATTGGAAGTTCAGCTCATTTCGCTGGCAGACATTCGAAGCCACTTCAGTCGATTTCGTGCATTTGCACGACTTTTGAGGACCTCGTTCGCATCATGCAAGCAGTAATGGCCTTGGCGTAACGTTTCTCTCAAAAACTGTCCCTCCATGACCTTGGTCAACGCATCTGCCAATTGTGCTCCAGAGTGAACCCAGTGTAAACATATGTTTTCAGTGAGGATATCCTTAATGGAACGCGCTAGCAATTGTGTTCTGAACTCCTGGCAATTTGGGACTGCTGTTCGAGTTGTGAGATCATACAGACTTTTACAATCGGTGATTGCAAGATCCTTTTCATCAATCTTTATTGTTGGGACTGTCAAGGCTTCCGGCAAGGTTTTCACGGTCTCTGGCTTCTGCCATGGAATTTTTGGGTCAATGAGCCAAGCCCAGTACACTCGAATCCACGTCAGCTGATCCAGCGTCGTTGATAAGGCAGTCGCTTCCGCTGAAAGGGTGCTTGTCACCACACGCTGAATTTTCTTTGTGCCCCATGACAATGGACGTATGATGCAGGATTTGTTCTGTGAAATCTCTTTATGGGTTGCCAAAATGATCATTCCTGAGTATGATTCTGGTTTCGTCTTGGATGCAAAGGATGCATCTGAGAAAGCCAAAAACCTTAAATCAGTGACTGCGATTGGATTGATTTTGATTGTGACATCATGGTGCTTCTTTGCAACGTGTAGGGTTTTATTGGCCATTATAAGTGTCATTACAGTGGCTGAGTTTATTTGAGATTGAAGTTGACTTAGTGAACTTGTAAGGTCAGGTCGGGTATGGACGGCTGCGTACTGCAAAGATCCTATGAGGCCACGCAGAAGATGTCGCTCTTCTTCGGTCACTGGCTCATTTTCTTGGGCTCTGCGTTCGGCTTTGAGGTTGATTGGATTGATATTTCGTACATAGGTGGATTGGGAAAGTTCTATGCTATTGTCTGAATTTTGTTTCATGTCAATCCCAGTGAAAGTGAACACTTTTGATTTCTTGGATCCGAACGGGTATTTTGATTCTAGCTTTGATATTTGATCTTGGAAATATTTGTCACCCCCATAAATACCATCGTCAACGTGGATCCCCAAAATGCCGGACAATTGTTGGCTTTGTGGATGTCGAAGGACAAAAACACATGGATCAAACGGACATGGTGTGAACCCCAGGCTGGTCAGCTCCTCTTGGAGCGTCTGAAACCATAGGAATGGTGCATCGATCAAACCATATGCCGATTTATCGAGTTTGCATATCTCTCCCGGTTTCAAATTCATTGCTGAGGCAAGTTCAACAACTGGGTCAAGTCCAATCACTCTGTCCTTTTGCGGTTTTCCTTGGAGAAATGCTGCCTTGATATCAAACGATCCTAACGACCATCCCATGGATGAAATTAATTGCAACAGGATCATCTTTGATTGCTTTCCAAGTGTTGGGCTGTCCCGTGGAACCTCTGTGATTTGTGGGTCCATATATCCCAGAACTACCAGTCTTGCCTTTGGCTTGTGAGTCTGGAGTTTAGTTTTTGGGTTGGACATGTCCTTTTTAGCTTCATCCAAAGGCTTCCATGTTAAAATCCATCGGCATCGTAGGATCTGCTCTGGGGCCAGCTTTGCTCGTAGAATCCTCGACACAGTGCCTGTTTTCAGCCAGTTCTGCACTTCGGTGGTTTTTGCTTGGGCAAATGCCTGTTGTTCTTCTTTCGAAAGCACTGACAATCTTACCTCTGTCCGCTGTTTCTTTTCAGTGGTTGCTAATAATAGATCATCAGGGGACCATTGGGAAAAGCTTTCTGATTCAATCCACCCCGGGGCTTCTAGCTCGAATTTCCAGGCACACGGTGTCTCAGACGGATCAACGTGCATGATTTCATCTTCACAGCACAGAAGGTGCGTGGTGATGAGGCTGTCGTCATCCTCATCACTCGTTGATTCCGGTACCGGCACTTCTACGGCAGGGTCATTTCCATGGGCTGAGATGGACTCTGGTGGCGAGTGATTTGCTTCTGGTTCGGTGTCTGGCTGATCCTGAGACTGACTTTGATTATCTTGGTTATTGGAGGATTCAGGGTTATTTTCAGGTGGGTTCGGTCTTGAGAGTGCTGGGTTATCTTCATGGGGAATTATGTCAGGTACTTGAGGGGAATTCTGAGTGTGGTTATTGTTCTGGAATTCTTCCTTGGGAATTTGATTTGCTTCACTTGAACAAACTGGTCGAACATGTTCAAGGGCCCTGCGATACAGCTTCCCGGCCTGAGTGGCCCATAGGGAGTTTTGTCCTTCATGGGCAACAACTTTGAGAGGCCCAAACCAATGACCTTCTTGTGCCTCAGGCTGCCAAAGCATCACCCATTCACCGGCTTCGTACGCATTTCTGTCAGGCCTGGTGCGTCTCAAACACGCACGCCTAAGTGCTTGATCATTGTCAGCCTGGTGAAAGGCTACCCTGGCTTTTTCCCGCAATGCAAGGCTCTGGCGAAACGCAATGCCGTGTGCGTCATCACGGTCGGCACTGGACAATGAGGACATTGACTCACAGCTGGTGATTGATCCTGGCAACCTTGAACTTTTACCAAACACAAGAACTTCTGGAGAAACCCTTTTCGGATGCTAAGGGCATTCTTTGCATGTGTACATTGAACCAGGGCTCTTTGGAGTTCTGTGTATGTCTGGATAGGCATGTCATGGTCAATCTTATTCAGCATCGTTTGGAGGATATGTCCATGTCTCTCACATCGTCCGTTTTGCCAGTGAGCATGCGGTGCTGCAGTGACTGGCTTCACATCAAACTTCTGCAAAAATTCCATGAAATGTTCGCTTGTGAATTCCGTTCCGGCATCAGTCATTAAAACATTTGGTGGCCCGGCCCATTGAAACCAGTTCTCTGCAACGCATTGAGAAGCCTGCTCAGCAGCACGGTTCGGCGCAGGTGCCGCCACATGATAATTGGTGGCCTGATCCAACATGTGGTAGAAATGAAATGTTTTCCCCAATTTACTAGTCCAGGCTACCCCATCTATGAACACCTTATCATTGAAGTCTAATTCATGTTTCAAAGTGCTTGGTCGGGCAATCCTCGGTAGTTGTTGGGAGGCGCAAGTTGCGCATTTCATATCAAACACAGCTTGGGTTATTTCTGGACGGACACCTTGCATCCTCAGCTTGGGTGGCACAGGTTTTGGTGTGCCCGACGCAGCATGGACTGTTCCTCTCTTGGCAATGAGAGAAAACGGTTGCTCTTGGCTGATGATACCCCAGGGTCCATTTGGATTTGGGATCCATTCTTGGGAATCTCATTCACGGTTTGTTCTCTCATCTCTTCAGGAGCTGTGCTTTGAGTGATTTCCTTGAGACCTTCTGTTCCCCTGTTTGGATCCATGGAACTGAGTGGACTCTCCATCCGGGAGAAGGGCATTTCAGCTGAACCGGTGGCCGAAGGGACTCCTGCCTCTGTGCTACTTGGGCTCGGTGGCACCTGTATGGGATTAGCTGCAAAGACAGTTATATTCACTCGGCACGGCTGCGATTTTCGAATGATACGTCTTTTGGAAAGTTCATCATATTTTTCCCAATCCTCGGTCATGATTTTCCCTGTGCTCCTTAGTTTCATGATGGCTCTGCGAAAAGGGGCTTCCCTAGCACTTAGATTTTCCGGTGGGGCCATGGTGCGTTCCGTTCCCTTACAAGCCAAAATTGCTTTGATGATCTTTTCGGGGAATAACTCTTGGACCATTTGGAGGATTTTGGGATCATCAATTAGTTTCTTTCCTACCCGAGGGAGTATGGGAATGATGGTATCCATGATTTTGGTCACTTGGTGGGTGACTTCTCCATGGTCTTCATCTTTTGGGTTGGAGATATTACCTGCGGTGTCTGGTGGTGTCAACCGTTGGCGCTTCATGGTGGGAGCAGAGCCGAGTGATCTGTCGGCAGACCTTGTTTTGGCTTGTCGGGGCTCCGACAATTTGGGACGTTTCGTCCTTCGGGTTTCCACGGCGAGTGCACTGCATACGGTGAACCATTGATCCAAGGCTGCTAATGCATGATCTACCAGAGTTCCTACCGGCTTTTCTTTGGGAAACTTCCTTTTGATGATGCATTTGGCAATCATTCGTGCAAACTTCCGTGGATACCTCTCGGAGAACGTGGATCTCGCTATTCCCTGGCCATGCACTCTGGTTGTTCCCTCAATTGGCTGATGGCAATGGTCTCCTTGGCATCTGAGTGGGTCTAAAAGATCATACATTGTCTTGGATGACGTGAGGATGTGCATTCCTTTCTTCATTAAAAGACCATTTTCGGGGTCTTGAAGGCTCCCCGCTGTGCACATGTCGGGTCGGGCACTCAACATATATCTCATGAGTTCACTGAGATACGGCAATTTGAACATAAGTGAACCTCCCGGTTGTTCCCAGTGTGCATGGCGGCTGCAACGGTGTTGGTATCGGCAAAGAACCAGGCATAGGGCGACTTGGCAAAGCATGTCTATTCTCTCGGCATGAATGCGATCCCACAGCTCAACTGACTTCTGACTGTTAAGGGTAGACCATTTGGACCAAGGTTTGCAAGTTGGACTTACCCAGACATGCTCTGGCCTATGTCGACAGACTGCATCAAACAGTTTTCTCCTACCCTCAGGCTGTTGCAGATCGCCTTGGCTTAGGCCGAATCGGATGGCTTTGCCGCCTAGATGATTGACCTGTTCGGTTAACATGCTTTGATCACTGCAGAAGACCTCAATCAGGTTGACTTTGGAGGCGAGTGTGGTCACTCGTTTTTCACTTTGGGCTATTTCGTTTTCCATCATGGTGACCAGACTGTTGAAATACTCTCGTTCGTGATTACTGCTGCTACAGGAAAACTCATCGATCTCCCCTGCTGTCAAGGCCAAGTTGCGATCTCCAGCATCTGAACCTATGCATTCCACGGATCTTCCCATTCCGAAGCCAGTGGGAGCTCGGGGAGATCCTCGCCCATGGCCGTTGAGCCGATCGTGCTTGGGATCGATGGCGTCAGGTGCACCAGAATCTGATGCATTGCATTCTCGAGATTGGTCATTCTGGCCTCCAGGGCATTCTCCTCCTGATTGATCCATGGTTCTTCTGGTGCTGCATCGGGATGTGGAGGTGGACCCTCGCGTCGGGTCGTGATCAGCGACTTTGGAGCCGCTTTGGCCTTTGGGCGCACAGGGAGCTGGGTTGTGCTCGCCCCCTGAGCCTCGCCCTCTTCGATCTTCAGCTTGATGTACCTGATCACTTTCTTGTGCTCCACATTGGAACTTCCCTGGTAATGGACCAGGAACCACTTGATCCACTCCTGTGCCGTCTCCCAAAGCTCGGCATAACTTTTTCCCAGATGAGCCTTCCCAAACTTCACCTTCTCGTTCTGCAAGACTTCGAGGCTCAGATGGTCGACAGATTCCGTCTCTGCCGCAGGCATGTCCGCCTGAAGGCGCTGGAGGCGTTTTGCCCAATCGCTCATGCTGTCGCGGCGATTTCTCCGGGTGATCAACGTGGGATCCTGCTTGAGTTTCAGAGCTTCCTGTTTCGGCATTCGATTCTTTGACATCACAACTTGTTGGTGATTGTGTTGACATGAACATGAATGTGGACGGGTTGACTGTGATATCATCATGTGTGTGGCGTGAACTCGGCATGTGATTGACAGTTGAACTTGACGGTGAACACTGGCTTTCATCACTTGCTTCGAAATTCACTGATTTCCTTTGAATCTCTGAATGATCATTGGTACTTTCGATGGCTTTGGTTGTGTTACTGACCTTCTTTTCCCAAGTTTCCTGTGCAAAAGTCTCGGCATGTTGATGGTCTCCTTTCGGCTGAGGAGGCACCTTGAGCAGCATGTTCATATCGACTAGATACAAGCCTTTGTTCGACAACTTCAGTGGAATTCTTTGACCATGTTTGGGGAGAACCAACTGGTTGGCGCTTGTATCTATCAGGGCTCCTAGAGCTCGCAAAAGTGCGTTTGACACCAAAAAGGGTGTGGCACCTGGGACCACAGCGATCTTTAAGTCAAAACCACAAATGGGCACTACCATGGCATGTTCTGATTTAAGAGTTCCCTGATTGCCAAACCGGAAAGTTACATCACAAGGGCATCTACGGATTTTCCTTCGAACATCAGCATGAACACTTTGCAAGAAACTCGGTACAAATTCACTTCCCATCACAGTCTTGGTGGCTCCAGTATCCAGGATACCCCAGGTATCGTGGGTAGCGAAAAGTACCTCAGCGGGTGCATTGGTGACCTCAGGCATCGGGCTCTTCGGCTCCTGTACCCTAGGTGCTATTGGATTGTCCAAAATGGACTGGCTCTCACTACGGCTGCAAAACGGACTGGAACACTCGGCCCTAGAGATCGGCTTTCTGTACACGGATGCATTGTGATTCCCTCTGGGCGGTTCATGCGACGACTGCAATCGGCTCTCAATCCTGTTCACCAGGGATGCCACCTTTGAATTAGTCCCCCTATTACCCTTAATATGGTTTCTAATTCTCTCCCTGACATCCTTCATGTTTTGGGGATCTCTATGAACTGATGTGTCCTCGGCTGCATGAAAAAAACTAGACTGTACACTGCAAAACTTTTGTGTTCCGTCAAAGTCCTGTGTTGGCGGCGACACCTCGGGAAGGTTCATGAACTCGGCAGACATCACATCGTTAGCAAGGGTCGATGTTACTCCCATGGAGAGAGTCACTGGGGCCGTCGATGCAGTGGAGCTATTCGAAGGCTGCGATCGATTCGGACACTCACTCTTCCAATGGCCTTTACGGCCGCAGATACGACAATTGCTCTCAAGGATCCGTTGCTGCAGAGTCTTCCTATTTGTCCAATTGGGCTTGCCCTTTGACTTGCCCTTGGACCCCTTGAATTTTCCTTTGCCGATTGGCCAGAAACCTCGTGCACGATACTTCTCACTCAGTTTCCTCCGAGCCTCCATATACGTGGAGAAGGCACCTGCGAGATCTTCGTCACTTTGGATGATGTCTGTGGCAGCAGATTCAAAATCTGCCACAAACACTGCATCTTCATCACCCTCATTGGCCAAGCCTTCGATAAACTCGTCCTCCGCAAAGTCATCATGACCTACTGCATGGACATGGTCCTCATGGTCTCCAGGCTGCTCCACATCTTCCACCGACAGAGCTGACTGATCATACACCTTTGCCTTGACATTCTTTTTCACTCCAGTCATCTCTTGAAAGAAAGAGGTTCCTAGCATCCTGATCGACTCCCGGACCTTGTGCATCGTGAGCTTGCCCTCCAAGGAGTTGTCACTGTCAATGATCACTCGTTTTTTGTCCTCCGCTGACAGCAGCGAACCCCTGAGGGTAACATAGGCTTGAAGATCCTCCAGACTCACCTTTTGAGCCATCAGTTTCGTCCATAGCACGTCGGCTCGTGCCAGAAAGCTGTCATGGCTCTCATCGCTGAGCTGGTTGCACTGGAAGAGTGCCTTTTCAGCGTCGGCATAACGCTTTTCCAACCCTGTCTTTCCCCAGTGTCCACCAAGCAACTCAATCAGACGTTTGATTCCTTTCTCGTCATTAACACACAGCTCAGTTTGGTGAAGCTGTAACTTGGTGAATGCAGTTCCAGACGTCCCCAAAATCAAACGCGTGATGAGCTCGGCAATCTTGGAAGGTGGCCACACTGAGAAAACCAGTTCAACCTTTTGCTGGTAAAGCTGTAAATCATCCTTGCTCGGGTCAAAACTCGGTACCGGAAATGCCAGTTGGCTGGAAATCGTTCCCCCAGTCGTTTCTGACGTCTCTGTTGTTGTTGCACCGTCACTACCTGATGGCATTGCCGCCGCTCACAGGCCAGACTGTTAGACCTCCAGAACAGCAGCTAGCACCTAAGGTAGCACCCTGGATGCCCCTGACAGAATGTCAGGGGCTCCGCTACCAATGTAAATGGGATTCCACACAAACCTGAAACACAAAGTAGTAGTCCCTGCCACTGACAACCAACGAAACTGCGGCCTCGCAGATTCCCTTTTGCACCTCTTGCACCAAGCAGTCACCACTGCTAGATCCGGCCGTCCACGGCCACTGCAAGCCCAGCCGAATGGCTTCAAGGATGTTAAACCCTCCCACCTCTGCGCCTAAATGGGCATCCTGAGCCCAGAAATCCTGCGGTGTTGGTACCGCTCGAAGACTGGCCTGAAAGAGACCCGGGCATATGCTGGCGAAATGAGTGGATTCACAATATATGAATATACGTATATATATATATATATATACATCATAGTATATACCCTCCAGTAAATTAACATAGACATAGACCCTAGCAAATAGGGGTTGGAAGACTCGTTTAAACCAAAATGTTGCTATTTTCTATGTTAATTTGCCAGAAGGTGATAATGATATGTTATTAACATGGCTTATACGCCACTATCCACACTATTTAAGAATAAAAACGATTGGTGATTTAAGGATGATTTATCCAGCAGGAACTGGGTTTACACTCATCAAACATATCGGGTTTTTTAGTTGATACATTATGGTTGATTGGTTGATTTGTTAAAATAAGGAATCCAACAAACTATAGATTTCAAAAAAATAAACTCATGTTCGGTAATCCAATAAAGATTGGCAAAAATTGTGTTTTTATGGGATAATCATGAAATTATGATGGGAACAGTACTAGTTGGTTCATAGGTTTCCCATTCTTATCATAATCACCCCCCGAACTTCTGACCTTTATCTGGCCGAATCAGATATATAAGGTGGTGCCCCAGTTAGACAAGTTGGTTTTGTTCACTCCATTCACCAGGCTTTATGGTAAGATACATCATTATAAATCTATAGTTACTATGCTTAAACAGATACATCTATAGTAGAATCTATAGTGAATCTATGATGCATAAACCAACTTAATCAACTTATCATTGGGGCGCAGCACCTTGTAAGAATTCTCACATCCAAAGTGAGCCGCCCCGGGATCAACGAGATCTCTGAGAGACGACCACTTCATTGCTGTATTTCCACCTCCACAAACGAACGGGACGAATGGGACCCAGTGACGGTTCGTGACATCACCCCAATCACTCAATTATACAGTTGTAAATATGACATCGGGGTTCATCATGCTTCATCTATTTGTTTGTGCCTCTATAACTCTGACTGGCTTATACAACTGGGATACATCGGAACTAAAAGACAAGTCATGAAAACTGATTGTTTCAAACCGTCAATCCAAGATTTCGTTGGATTATCCCAGAGTTGAGATCGAGTTCTGCAGGAAACTGAGAAAGACCTCAGGACACATGTATACAAATAGTGGGTTTTCCATGTCTGCTTCCATGCAGTTATGGCCATTAACAGTTAATACTATACATGGAACTATAACTCCAATGAGTAATGTTATATACCAGCATAAAAATTAGACCAATTTATACCTGTTAAGGGTAATTTTTGTGTGTCTCTCTCAATTGAGGCAAGTGGTTAAGGGAACAGTGCAGGCTGCAGCTAGGCTTTTGGTGTCCTCCTATTCAAAAAAAACATACCAGCCTCATCAGCAATCTTACCTTCTGGTAAACGTTTACATACCTATAGAAATCACAATGTTTTAGAAGCAACTAATCTACAAATGGGCCATTTTCCATAGCCATGTCAGTTTACTGCAGGGAGATATGTTGCAAAGAAAATATGTGTAGCCGACTAGGTCAGTAAATTTCCATAAAATCCAAAATATTAAATCAATCCACTAATATACCACCAAGCTGCTAAGTAGATTCGATATCACAACAAATACCGTATGGTAATTCAACATGGCTCTGAAAAACAGCAATGTTCAGTAGGTAAGTCATCTATTGTGGGCCATTTCCTAAAGCTATGTTAAATTATCAAAGTGTATTTGCTTAATACTATATCACCCGATTAGTAAATTTTCATATACTTTTTCATTCCGTTTACTCTTTGGACTACTTGACGGAAACATCTACGTGAAACCCCGATTAAAAATAAGTAAACAAAAGTTGTATTTCACTTGTTTCATTGAATATTACCCAAAAAATGGTGAAATCAAATCCAAATAGTTTTTGTAGTATCCCCATAAATCAATCTCACAGAATCTATGTGGCAAGCGGGGTGAGTTGGTGAAATCCTACGTTTGATGCTGCTCCATTCACAGCGATCTTGGCCCAGGCCGATCATCAATAAATCTATGCCGGCCTGATGGAAAAGGAACATGTGTTTCTTATACCCTCTGGTAAACATACAAATAGCTATTGAAAATGGCCATTTATAGTGGATTTTCCCATGAAAAATGGTGATTTTCCATAGTTATGTTAGTTTACCAGAGGGTAAAAAGAATCCAACATCTTGTTTTCGGCCTGGTTTTCCCAGATTTGGACGACATATCCGATGATTCCACCCATGGTGGCCACGATGTTTTTTGATCAATCATATCCTCATTTTTGTTGATGGTTCAGAATCTCAGGTTCTGTTTTTCATTGGTTTCCCAAACATGATGGAGAACATTTTGCCTGGTTAGTTCAGTTAGTTCATAAACCCCATTGACTATAGTTATATCTACCATGAACCATACTTAAGCTATATATCCACCGATTTACCCAGTCCCCACCTGCATGCGTAAGGCTCAGCGTGTGATCATCCGCTCCCAGTCGCCACCAAGGGCCCATTTGGATGAAACGATCTCCCAAGGTAACCTGCAGCGCCCCGAATCAGGGAGCCTTAAACAGTGGGGTATTTCTTATATACACCATATGATAGGATAGGTCAGGTAAATCAGGAGATATATCAAATTATAATATATCAAATTATGATATATCTGTTCGTACTCTTTGTGATGTATTCATCCAACTATGCCATGGTAAGAATCAAATGTATCACCAGAAAGTATGGTTGGAAACAACAAGTCCATTGGCTCGAACGAAGCTGACATAACCGTCAAAACTTATACCCTCTGGTAATTTAACATAGCTATTGAATATTGCCATAGAAATAGTTGAAATACCCATTACACATGATGATTTTCCAGTTCGCAAACTATAAACGTTTACATCCCTAAATCACAACAAAAACTGAGGCCTCTAACACGTTGGGACAACTCCAGCTTGTCACAAAGCCAAAAGCGACCTATAAATACATATGCTACAAATATATATATATAGATATACAATCCCTTCCCCCTATTACTAAACCCCCCCAAATAATAAAAACTAGGGTCCATCTCCAATTGTGGAAAATTTCAGATTGGCCAATTTGACTTTTAATTGATCCCCTATTTAGAAAACAATTTGAAAATAAAGCTACCATTTGTGGGTTTCGCCCCCTAATAATAAAAACTAGTCAACCCCGGGGTGTTTATTATAAGGGTCCGTCCGATGTTTTTTAGTTTTTTATAGTAGGGTGTTTAATTTATTATTAGGGCCCGCTTCGAAAACCAATTTTTGGCAATATCTTAATTGCGTTATAAAAGGAATTTTAATTGATTTTAAAATCAGAAAAAAAATACTTTACTTCGTGTGATCCCCACCATGACATTTATACATTTTCTTACTGGCAAATCTTCTGGCATTCTATCTGACATATCTTCTGACATTCTATTTGGCATTCTATCTGGCATATCTTCTGGCATATGATGCATATCTTCTGGCATATCTTCTGGCATTCTATCTGGCAAATCTTCTGGCATTCTATCTGGCATATCTTCTGGCACTCTATCTGACATATCTTCTGGCATTTATCTGGCATTCTATCTGGCATATCTTCTGGCATATATTCTGACATATCTTCTGGCATTCTATCTGACATTCTATCTGGCATATCTATCTGGCATATCTTCTGGCATATCTTCTGGCATTCTATCTGACATATCTTCTGCATATGGCATTCTATCTGGCATATCTTCTGGCATATCTATCTGGCAAATCTTCTGGCATTCTATCTGGCATTCTATCTGGCATATCTTCTGGCATATTATCTGGCATTCTATCTGGCATATCTTCTGGCATATATTCTGACTATCTGGCTTCTATTCTATCTGGCATTCTATTTGGCATTCTATCTGGCATATCTTCTGGCATATCTATCTGGCATATCTTCTGGCAAACTTTCTCTGCACATTCTTTGTCCCATATCTTCCTACATGAGGTCCGGCAGGGAACACTTGGCGTGGATACTCGCGGTTGAGGTCCGGCAGGGAACACTGGGCGTGGATGGCCGTGGTTGAGGTCCGGCAGGGACCACTGGGCGTGGATGGCCGTGGTTGAGGTCCGGCAGGGAACACTGGGCGTGGATGGTCGTGGTTGAGGTCCGGCAGCGAACACTGTGGATCGCGAGTCGCAGTTGAGCAGGAGGACGAGGAGGACAACGAGACGAGGAGGACAACGAGAGGAGGAGGACAACGAGAGGAGGAGGACGACGAGAGGAGGAGGAGAGGAGGAGGAGAGGAGGAGGAGGAGAAGGCAACTTAGATAAAATCTAACAACCCTCACCTGGCAGGTGGGGAAATATTAAGGTTTTTAATTTATTAATAGGGTCCGCATCGAAATCCAATTTTTGGCAATATTTTAATTGAGTTATAAAAGGAAATTTAATTGATTTTGAAATCGGAAAAACAAGTTTTTATTATTAAGGTTTTAAATTTATTAATAGGGTTCCCTAATAAAAATACCCCCCTAATAATAAAAACTACCTGAGGTGTTTATTATTTGGGGGGGGTTATTATTAGGGCGAAGGGATTATATATACATATTGTCTGGCCATGGGGCCATGTCTAAAGGAATATTTGAAACAAGAAAACCAATAATATTTTAGACACATCTTCAAACATCTACAAGCAACACTGTTTAGATTGTTTGAAACACTGTGATTTTTGCCTAATAGTATATCATACTACATAACCTTAATAAACAATAAATCATATATAAAATATTTATAATCTAAAGACACTATATCAGTATATACAATGTCTATACTAGCTATACTGGTTGGTGGTTTCAACACCTCTGAAAAAAAAACAAATAGTCAGTTGGGATGATGAAATTCCATGAAATTCCCAATATATGGAAAGTCATAAAATTCCATAGTTCCAAAACACCAATCAGTATGTATATATATATATTATCTAATACAGCATTATCTTCCCTATTGGTATAAATGGCCATTCTACACCATGAATAATGTTTCTTGTTGGCTCTACCACAGATCAGCTAGTTCTATACTAGCTATATGAATACAGTACTATGATCCCATTAAAATGGCCATAGAAATAGTTGATTTACCCATTAAACATGGTGATTTTCCATCAGTGTGTATATATATATATACATACCCTCTGGTTATTTCACATAGCCATGGAAAATCACCATGCTATTAATAGGTAAACCATCTATTTCTACGGTCCATCTATACCATGGCTATGTTAGTCATAACCAGAGGGTAATGTTCAACCATTAAATTGTGGTGGTTGGTGGTTGGTGGTTTCAACCCCCCTGAAAAATATGAAAGGATCATAATCCCAACTATTGGGGAAAATAGAACATGTTCCAAACCACCAACCAGCAGATAGTTTAAGGCTCAGTAGTTTTTAAAAATTGTGATTTTCCATAGCTATGTTAAATTACCAGAGGGTATATATAATCGACTCTACATAGGCCATGTTTCTTCGTGTAGCTTCTGGTCCCTCGGAGCGGCGGCACCTCGGAGTGCTTTTCATCTTTGGCCTCGCGGCGCTAGGCCGCGGCGCGGAGCGGCGCGGATGGGTCGTCAACGGTACACCACTTACGACTGGGTGTAGATATATGGTACCATAGCCACTATAGCTGGTTTCCTAGTAGATATATGATTATATGATATTATATGGAGGTTTCCTAAACTCAAGGTACCCAGCTAGCTGGTTTATTTCAAGGAAAATCCCACCAAAAGAATGGATGATTTGGGGGTACCAATGGGGTTATAAACCAGAAAACATACCCTAGGCCCTAAACTAACATTAGATGTGGAAAATCCATGGTTTCCTGTTATATGGTTGGTATTCCACATCTTTTTGTATGTTTACAGGAGGGTACCCCCCTGGTAAGTTAGCATAGCTATCGAAAATCACCATTTACAAAAATAGGTGAATCGTCGAACTAAATGGGCCGCTTTCTATTGCAATTTGTTAAATTGCCAGAGGTATACCTCCCTGCATCTAGCTCAAAATCAGCTGATGATATAAGGATGATACAAAACATTCTAAGACATGTGGATTGAAACTGGTTTCACTCCGAAATACTCCGAACGCAAAAATCAAATCAGAGTTGTTGTGGCATGAAATGACATCATTCCACCCATGAAACTGGCCGAAGACAGACTCATTCACCAACTATTCCCCAGAGAATGAACCTAACATGGCACTGCTTGTGCAAGAGGCCCTTCAGACTGGTTTCTCAAATTTTCATTAAACTCACACATCATTGGATTGGTGGGAAAATCTACAGGAAAACCCTATAATTGGTACTAAAAGCTTTACTGGTTGGTGGTGCAATAACCATCTTGAAAAATATGAGTTCGTCAATGGGAAGGATGACTATCCCATATATGAAATGGAAAATAATCCAGTCATGTTTGAAACCACCAACCAGCAGATAGTTTCCTGATTCCTTTCCCTTCAACCAATCGACAATACAAAGAGTGTCCCATGGCGTCAACGGAACCCTTGTAAGAACTAAAAACAAACAAGCATTGTTTGATGTTCCCCTATTTGGGTACTAAACATCCAATTGGCTACTAAAAACATCTAAAAACTAGAATTTTATCTTCATATGGGAGTGACTGAAAATTAGGTACCCCTGAATCTGCTCATTCATCGTCATTTTCCCATATGTTTCCCATATTTTCCCTATTAAATGATGACCACAACTGATGGTATACCACATCGTCAGACACACCCGGAGTTCCAGGTCTCGGAATGCCAAGTGGATGATGGTAATCTAATAGCTACTCCAGTTCACAAATATGCTGAAAGTCAATGAAAGTCAAGGGTGGTTACCCTCTGGTAAGCTAACATAGCTATGGACAATCAGCATTTTTATAGGTAAATCAACGAACTAAATAACAGATCTTCAACAGCTATGACAAATTACCAGAGGCTATATGTCCACATCAGTGTTCCACTGACATTAGTGTTTGCCAATGATTAACATGTAACAGGATCCAGCTAATGCGTCCTCCACTATCCTAAGAAAAATAGCTGAACTAAGGCTATTTAAGGATTACACAGCTCTTACTAGCCCTTTTTTTCTCCAATGACCTCACAGGTCATCGGTCATTTTCTACGGGGAGGATCATCCCAGTCATTGGTACTCCATGAAGCTCCAACTGGATCAGTGGATCAGACCACTTATGGCTTGCCAGTTTAGTGAGCTATGGCTATGGCTTCCCATAATCCCATTGCTGGGGGGTAAACCATGATAAACCTCGATTTGTTGGATGCTTTTTACGGCGTTGACCACATGAATATCTTGTGTTTTACCAACGAGACATGTCACGCAGCAGTTACGATATGTTACGGTCACCAATTTCATCACCACCCCATATCAGCACCTACCCTTCGGTAGTTTAACATGGTTATAGAGCATCACCGTTTTGAAAACCATCGATCTCTCCCTAGATCATGGCTGGAAAGCGAATGACTTTCCTCGAGATCCTCAAGAGTTTATGAGGGATATTGGTTAGATACACAACCCATATCATCATTTCAGTTGGTTAAATACCCATGATATCCCAAAAAAAATCATGTTACATCATTTTGGTTGATTCCCAACAAAATCGCTCCTCCAAGGCCCAGGTGTTGAAATAACTCGTAGGACCCTGGAAGGCGCTGCCATCCGACGCGAAGTATCGCACCGTGCGCCCGTCCCTGCGAGCTCCAGATCTGGAGAAAACAGATGAAATCCAATCTTTAATATGGTTGTAGCCGTTCTGCATCGTGTTCAGGGCTACTATAGATCAATAGTATGTATGTATATATATATATTATTTATATATATATATTATACATACATATAATATGTATAGATATCACATATTCATACTCGAAAAACAAATAAACAAAACAACAAATCAAACTAGCCATCCAGTCACTTTTCCCCACTGACATGCAACATCGACCTAAGAATTTCCACTAAAATGGGCATGATCATGATCCACTTGGCAAAATTGGATGGCTATCGCTCCACCGCACCTTTCTGTTCACCCGATTTTATAGCTACCATCTGGTTATTTAACATAGCCAAGGAAAATCACCAGTTTCAATAGGTGAACCATCTATAAATGGGCCATTTTCCATGGCTATATTAAATAACCAGAGGCTACCCCGAAAAATCGCTGTTGAATGTGTTTGATCCAAGTGTTTCGCGGAGGTCGACTGGTCGTATTATTCCAATGTTTTGATCAGTGATAATTTGCCAAAACTTTGATGTTGTTTCCAGATTTTGAACGGAAACACATGGAAAAAAAATGAACAAACACATATTCTCCTCACATCTCAGCTACTCATGAAGTTTTCTGAGGCATTCCAGAGTAAGCTCACCACTCTGTTGGAAAATAAGAACCTGGATGACTCAAGGACAGAGCAAATATGTTGGTTCAGCCTCTTTGCAATTTTCTGGCCACAAATGCGCCAGAATCTGTCGCACGCAACATAGCAGGTGTTCCCAATGTTAGGCAACATAAAAAAAAAAAAAACAACATACACAAACTAATTACTTTTCTGCTCCATGTATATCCATGGATGACTAATATTTACTAATATGACTAATATCAATACATATCACTGGGTCCTGCGTCATGGTTTGGGGAACAAGGCTAGATGGAACTCTTTGCCATGACCAATTGGGTTACCGTCATTGGGAATGGTTTGTAGTTTCATATGTAGCAACCCCGTCACCAACAAAAATGCAAAACTTACAGATTTAATTATCTTATAGTTTGGGGGGATACTACATATGAAACCATAGAATATAATTAACTGATAGATTCATCTGTGCATCTTTTTTGAGGGATAATTAATGATAATTATACCATCCATGACCATCCATGACCGTCCACTACCCACAGATCACCCGGACTGACCCTGGAACCGTGCCAAGTGACTTGTGCGCAATGCCAAAGGTTCCCTCGAAGTCACCGATGCGCCAGTCACCTGAAGCGCCAGTCAGCTTGAGTCGAGTTGAAATCTTAGCGACTTGGAGGTACCTCTTGAGATTTCTGCTATTTGGGTGCGTCTAAAAATGGCTAACCAATCGGGATTTAAAGGTACCCTATCAGACAAATCCATTTAAGGTGTACCCATGTGGACCGATGTGTCATGTATTGAAATACCCACGATCTGCGATCGGATCGTAATCTTTGGTTCCTATGACGTCTTGAAGTATTCCACAAAAGTGTGTGAGGATTTTCCATGGATCCGGTGTAGAAATGCTGACCAATAACAGTTCCAAGATCCGTTTTTGGTTGCTTGCACAAGGTCGTCGAACGTACCATATTTTGATTGCTGACTCGCATGATTGCATCATAATCCTGCAACCTGAGCGACCTCATTTTTGAACATGCTTGACTATTTTGACGTAGTAGACCGAACAATAAAACCCAGGTGTTACAGTTGTTCCTCTCCAAATTGCAAGTAGTGTTGGTATGGTTAGTAAATGTTAGGAATTAGTGGAGCTATCACATTAATTCACATTACTCTTCAAACTCAAGCATCTAAAAAAAGTATCATTCACTATGACTATGCAAAAATCTCGCCATAAACCCTACACCGAGACAGCCCTTTTTAAAAGCGCTCCGCCGGCTCTCTCCCGCCTAGTTGGATCCAGGACTTGCCCATGGTGATCCCGACCTCAAGGCAGCAAATATTGATATGGTTGATTACCCTCTGGTAAACTAACATAACTATGGAAAATCACCATTTTTAATGGGTAAATCCACTATAAATGGCCATTTTCAATAGCTATGTTAAATTACCAGAGGGTATGTTTTTTTTTTTTTACTAAGTTGGTTATTATGGTGAATTATAACTTATGGTACTTATGGTTGTTACTATAACTCAACCTAATGCATCACATGTTTATTTTGTTTAATGGTGTTTAATATGAACTTATCTATATACGTTTATCTGCTATCTGATATTCTGGTGTCCCAAACATGCAAACCACACCAATTTCATCCCTGTAGCTGGCGTACCGACTTGATCTTGAGTGTAGAAGAGCGTTCTTTCGCATCTGTCATAAAATCATAAATTAGCCTTTACAGCGTCATGGGAGTTCTGTACATACGGACAGACCATCCAGAGAAACTCTACATAACAGAAACGGTTTCCATTAATATGCTATGATAAATATGTTTATATGTTTATTTATTGTGACTCCAAACTCCAGACAGTTCATGTCATTCATAATGTAATTATTTATGTTCGCAAATATTGTGGGATATGTGTGATTAAACATTACATTCACTTACTCTTGCTGTTCCATTCTTTACTATGTTTTAATGTGGGTAAAACAATAATAAACCACTCCCCAGTCTTCACCATTTTTATAGGTGGTATAATCTTACCATTCCCAGTCATGGCTGGTGTATGACATTGTTTTACCCACATTAATCACCATTAAACCATCATTAAAACACCATTAAGCCCCATTAAATCAGGTTAAACCCCCCATTAGTCACCATTAAATCACCATATCATCCCCATGAGTTGTTGACCATTATTGAGTGTTTTACTTGGAATTTCCCAAGTCATGAAAAAAGTCGTCCAAGCTGCGCAGGAGCCGAAGATGCTTTGAATCGGCCCGCAGTGGAACTCCGAGTATCGCAGGGTGTAGAGGATACCATGGTAGCCACTCAGTCCTGACGGAGCGACTAGGCGAACTCAGCCAGCTGACTGTGAATCAGAGCTTGTTTCATATCAAGGCTTGTTTCATACCTGCCATACGGCTCCCCAAATGAAGACATCCAGTACTAAACATTTGGGGTTCGTTTGATGGATACGTATCTGATATTAGAGGCAAGTGATGGCAAGTATTGCAAAACATGATCCTTAATAACCATACGTGCCATCATCTGCCGCACCACGATATTCAATATTTGACATCCCACATCAAGTGGTGAAGGATCATGCGAAATGTATCAATAGCTCCCAACAATTACTATATGCCAACAGTCGATGAATCAATGCAAACCTATAGCGAAACACATGCTTGTCAATTATATAAGAGACTAGAATTTATAGTCATGTCTACCATAAGTCCGATTTACTATACTTAAACACCAACTTGCCTGTCGCCCGGGAGCCCCTTCCTGTGATGATGGTATTCATTCCCAAGCAATGTTGTTGTTCTTTAAAAAACAATTTTATTTGCTGATTAGGTCTTGAACATATCTCACTGTTTAAGAAGTATACCCTCTAGACTAGAAATTCAATATTGCTGTTGAAAATAATGTTTTGAAGTAGGTATTCTATAAATAAATGAGACATGTTCCATAGCTATGTTAACATACCGCAGGGTAGTGAAGAAGGTCTGCACATGTCACTTTAGGAGTGATGCAGTTTGGACAAGCCTGCGCGCATCACTTTTGAATGGTAACGGATTGACAGGCATATAAACTACTCAGTTTGTACATGTATACATATATATATATATCTATACTGTACTACTCAGAAAAATGTCATATCTATCTTTTTGGTGGTTACCATAGTCAACTATATTTATACTTTATATAAATATAGTTTGTAAATGTTTGTAAGCCATTGGTCCATTGGTAAAATAAAAATCTATAATTAATAAGTTGAATACTTTGTGTACAAGTTCTGGTTTCTTTAAGGTCAAACCGTTGAACTCATGATTTGTTCAACCATCCACTAAACAAAAATAAATGTATACACATACATGTACAATAATTAGAATTCCTGTATATATATATACATATTTTTTTAAAAAAAAATCTACAGTATAACTTATCACTGTTCATAATTTGTAATCTGTCCATAGATCAGTTCCAACCATTGGACTACAGGTAGTACTTTTTTGGCTAGGAAACATTTGCATAGAGAAATTTGTTTTTTCAGAAGATGCCCTTTATCAACCCATTGACCGAACTTGCTAGGGATGATAGCCCTTATTCATACAGTAAAATCAAGGCGCCAGGGATTGGGGGTTTATGAATCTCTCCATCATTTCATTCCCAGTTCGGTGGGCCAATCTAATCCAACCCAGCCATGTCCTCCTGATTTCATCTCGTTCCAACCTGAGCTCAACAGAAACATCGAATTGGAGTGGGGTTTTGTACAGAAATGGAATGTGACCCGTTTTTGTCGGAATTGGAATATTCTGTAGATGCGGAAATTATATTGCTCAACAGAAAAGATAATCTTTTGGAGTTGGGAGTACATGCGGCAATTTCAGACAAAGCCATGTTGGAGGTCCAATGCCTCTAGTGGAGATGATACTCCGAAAAAAAAAAAAAAAAAAACCTACCAACCAGCTAATCTGATTGGTGGTTTCAACCCCTGAAAAATATGAAAGTCAGATTGGATCATCATCCCAACTCTTGGGGAAAATAAAATTCATGTTCCAAACCACCAACCAGCAGATAGTTTAAGGCTCAGTAGTTTCTTGGTGGGACCTTCTGGGTTGAAAGCATTCTCCTCTGGTGTTTGAGACTATGGAAACCATAAATGATGATTACGCAATGGTTATATCTGCCTATTAAACTTGGATAAATTGGTGATTTTCTATAGCTATGTTAAATACCCAGACCCAGAGAGTATGTTGAACTATAGGAAGTATGATATTTGATCGCCAGGTACTTGGTGATGTATCTCATGACCTTGCTGGGAATGATAATGCCAATCATAAGGAGGTTCCTAAAACGGGGGGTGCCCCAAGTCACCATGGTTGTTTCAATACTAAGATGGTCATCCATGACGACTGGATGATTTGGGGACACGCTGACACGCCTTAGAACACCTCTGATATATAACGGGTGGAATGTTGAACATCCAGGCAACTCATAATTTCGTGAACAAGTCTGAGAACTATTTCACTATCAACCCCACAGCTACAGAATTCCACAAACTTCTCGGGTACAAATGCCTATGATTATCGCAGTCTAGTAGCGGTGGCATATAGTGACATACATTCGGAAATCAAACTTGGCAATTGAAACATCTCCTATGCATACAGGATGGGGCCCCCCATTTATAAGTTAATTAGTTAATAAACCCCATTAACTATAGTTGTATCTACCATAAACCACACTTAAGCTAGTTATAAACCAACTTAGCTATCGTTTGGGGGCCCCACATTGTATAGATTCTATAGATGATTCTTCCATTTTTCAGCCTCCCTTTCTTATGATTTTCGGACACAAAAGCGAGTCTCGTGAGGGTCATCCTCTGGTAGACTAACAGAGCAAACTGGAAAACCATATTTGTTTTAACGGTTAAATCAACTATTTCTATGGCCATTTTCAATAGCAAACTGTAAACGTTTACCAGGGGGTAATGGATAGATAAACCGGGGGTCATGGATAGATAAACCCCTGCTAATGGTCTGATGGACTCATGATTCTCCCTCAGTATAGGTGTATTACTGTCTGTATAATCCAACTCTTGACCAGGACGCATATGTAAATTGTTTGCAAAAACAGCTACACCTTTAGTGATCACCACGTTGCTTAAGTCCTCCTGTTCCGCATCATGCCGCAATCCAAAGCTTTGCTGCCTTAGCCCCCTTGATTTGTGCTTAAAACATGTCAACAAAACACTAGATATCCCAATATATTATCCAATATTTGACAGTTAAATCATTAAATCTCCATATAAATTGCTTTGTGCTTCACACCAGAAATTGCTTTTGCGGATGAGTTTTTTGCAGAGTTGGTCCAGTAACATAACCCCTGGTGAACTGGGCCCCACTGTGACGACGTTTGGGGTGAAGCAGCAAGGCTCCCCAGCCATCAAAAGCTGGTGAATGCTGGGGCCCCAAGTTCTACATTGCTTCAAAAACCACACAAATTGTGTAGCTATTTCTTCCATTTTTTCCCAGTTATTGGAGTTGTTTTTACCAACTTAACTTTCGTTTGGGCGCCCCATTTTATCCCATTTTGTAGGTTTTAAATGATATTATATCATTAATTATATTAACTTATATTACCCCAACTTAATATTACCAACTTAGTTTTAGCTAGAAAATCCCTCTATTAACCCACCTTTGTGGCTTAGATATGCTGAAAAATCCCCAGCTTTCACCGAGTCACTGTAGTAGGTTTGCACCGTGTGCCCCGTAGAATGTTCCACCACAAAGGTATCGTCGTTCAAGGCACCCAATCGCCACTGGCCAATTTGGAGGAACCTCCGAAAAAACTACGGGAAGCCCCGTAGTAATGGTGAAATATGGTGAGTTAACCCATCAAAGAATTTTTGGAAAATGGATGAATATGGGATTTGACCACGAAGACCAAGGGGATTTATAGTTGATTTAGGATAGCTAAGTTGGTTGATGACTATAGGCAAACAAGGATTGATGGTGGATATATCCATATTTGATTGATTTACAACATTTATATAGTATAAACCAACTTGCAATTGCGGGGCCCCTAAATGTGGTGCGGATCGTTCGAAATTGATGGTTGCGTTGAGAAATTGATAGCGTGTTTAAACCACCAGGTTATGCCCCGTACTTTGAACCAAACTCTGAAACCCAAATGGTTGGCCGAGGGTACACCAATAGATCCTACAGATTCATACTGTACCTGACACTGCCTGACTCAATTAATATTTCACCAGCATGTCGTCTTTTTTTGAGGGATAAGGGTGGTCCGTGGGGGGTATCCCACTTTCAACAAGGTTATAACCCCACAAATATGAACCACTTAGCCGCCTTAGCCTCTGCTAATCAAGCATGTTTTCTAGAGAATCCTTCATTTTTGTAAGCGGTTTTCCAACTCAAACTGCCATCATTTCGAGGATTCAGCCGGCGGACCGATCACCATAGACCACTCCGGTGGCAGGACCAGTTGTTCCTTAGGTCATGGTGCTGGATTGCAGCCGCATGAGTAAAACAAAATCGTGAATCAGTAGGTCAACTGTGGTTGATTTCATGATCTCTACAGTTACCTGGCCTTCTTTTAACCCAGTTATATCTGGCGAAGGCCTTCTGTAAATTTAACGACAAATCGGTATCAGAATCCGGAGAATCATGTGACTCCCATGACAAATTGGGGATAACAATTTCAACCCTATCGGATTGCGGTCTGGTTTTGGTATCATCCTCTGTTGCTGTATGTCTTGATGTCTGCATGTGGCAGTGTGTCAAAACCCTGGTACCTAGTGAACCCCAAAATAGCTGGTAAATGGATGCTCATCCCCCTAAAAATGGTATTAATAGGTATTGATCCATAGCCATGTATGAAAAAATACATCAGCCAAGAAAAAGACAAATTTACATCTGCAACTTTTTTTGGGAATGACTTCTTCTTAGCTTCTTCGCGCTCTGCAGTTCTTTTGCCCCACTGTCACAGGGCGTGCAAAGTAGATGTGGTACAAAATGAAAAGATCCAATAAATCAGGCTTTCTGGTAGGCTGTGCGTTCAATATTGGGGCAGGGATATAGGTCTTATATATACAGCTTGCATATATATATATATTATGTATAATATATATATATATATACATATGTATATATATATATACATGTGTGTATATATAATATATATATATATGTATATATATATAATGTGTATATATATATATATATAATGTGTATTTATATATATATATATATGTATATGTATTATGCCTTTTGGGTCCTCATTTCATCCCACCATGGTCTCTCATGTTGCAGCCCTCTTATCGATCGAAGGCTCGGTCCCACAACGGCCAGGGATTTCCTTGTTCGCCCCACCTGAAGTTGATCAAGTGGATCTACCCTCCAGTAAATTAACATAGACCCTGGCAGATAGGGGTTGGAAGATTAGTTTCCATTAAAAATGGGTGATTTTCAGGGTCTATGTTAATTTACCAGGGGGTAGGTCTGGGCATTTTCGTGTTGTTTTTCCGGATTTCAACAGAAGTGTATCTGGATCTGATACTTTCAAAAATTCGCTTTTTATCCAAAAAACATATCCAGAATGGGGAATATGACATAATAGAACCATCACCAATGAGCTATCAACCATCAAATGGAGATAGCTCAAATTCAATAGGGTTCAGAGGGTGCCCAAAAAATAAATGAATCAGCAACAACCCATGTTCTGATAATTACCATCTTGTTATTTAACATAGCCATGGAAAATCATCATTTTTAAGTTCGGTAAACCATCTATACATGGGCCTACGCAACAAATTCGACATTCAGTTTGCAACCCGACCAGACCACTACTCAGTGACCGTCCCAAACCTGGGATAGCCCTAGTTGCAAAGCATCTTAACTTATTGGGATATAAGTATAACTTATAATATAATAGATGGTTATCATTGGTATATACTATTAGTTATCATTATTCATCCCAATATAGATATACTATAAATATAATTGGTATAATGATGGTTATGTCAATTGGTATCAGTGGGATATACGTATAACTTCATCCACACCATTGTTCCACAGATATGGTGTTGATATCTTAAGGCACCAGGCTCGGTGTACCCCTCCAGTCCTGGCACTAAAACTTGGGGTTCATGTCCCTGGATTCACAAAACCCTAGGCTGTTGATCTTTTTATGTTGGTACCATTGAAGTATCAGAATGGTTTTATTACATATGGTTTTATGAATAAATATGGTCCTATCAGAATGGTCTTATATTATGATTAAATATCATCATGGATTTATCATGGTAGTACCCATAGGATCCATGTATGGTATATATGCTAACATGAAGGGGGTATATTGATGGGATCCATGTTACCATATATAGCATACATGGATCCTATGGGGTATAATAGAAAACATCGTACCCCTTAATGAAAACCATGGTATATTCCTCCGGGAACATCCCATTGCCACTGTGAGATCTGGGATCCACCAATCGGACCAATCGTCATCCCCAAGTTTGAGGCTAGGACGGCTAGGTCTCCCGGAGATCACCCTGTAAAATGACCCCCACATGGTTTGTTCGGATGGTAATTGGCACATGAACTGAATGTTTTCAAGGCGCAAGGTCCGTTTTTATCGTATAATATACTGACAAACACTTACGACTCAGAGTAATTAGTAAGTATAGATGTGAAAAGCATACTATGAGTTGTACTTAACACTATTGTAAGTATAGGTATGTATATACTAACAAACACTTAGTTACTTCTATTGTCACATACTTTTCTATATCCAATAGGTTGTTCTCATCGTTGCCCAGGAGCAAAGTGCCATCAGAGCGGAAGCATTGAATCACTCGCACAGTCTCACCAATCTGCCGTAGCGCCACGGGGGTGAGACCCCAGGCACAAAAAATGGAAGTGAGAATGGGGATTCAAATTCTATATATTGTAAAACTATAGTTATATACATATATATATATATATTATATATATATTATATATATATATGTTATATTATACATAACCATCGGATGTGCACATGTCAGCACCATGGAAGCACGTTCCCTCAAGAGTCGAACCCCGAAGCTGTGTATCTGCTGTCGAACCCCAACAGCAACAAAGGGAATTGTTTAAATGAAAAGGACACACAAAACAGAATAATTAGACATGTTTTTGTTATTTTTTGGTGGTTTTCTAGTTCTATTGAGTTTACTTAAGCATATTGCGGTTGCTTTACATATCTCACCACTGTTTTCACGATTGATACCGTAACTGTTTGTCCCATTTTCCACTGCGGGTTTCGTCCCGAACTCCTTGCCTAGTTATGGGGATGACACCAATCACATCCAATGCCCCACTACCCCTCACTTCTGCATGGAACCCTCGGGCAAACAAAGAGAGACGTTAAACAATCTTTCACAGCTGGTTTGATCCTTAAAATACCATCTGGTAAACGTTTACATAGCGAACTGGAAGATCACCATTTCTAGCTGGGTAAATCCACTATTTCTATCACCATTTTCAATAGCAAACTGTTAAATTACCAGGTAAATCCAATTAAATCCAATTAAAGCCCATTAAATCCCATTAAATCATGGTGAAATCCCCCATGTTTCATGTTAAATTACCAGAGGGTAATTGCTTGGTGTTTTTCCACCCGATTCTGATGTCACTAGTTGAACCACTGTAACTTTTTCTGCCAAGCACTTGGGGTTTCCCAAGCACTGCCGGCCGTAGAAGCCGTGAAGCCTTCGGAAGTCGAACATCTGGCTGATCCCCCAGCCAAGCATACCCAAATCTGCTGTTTTAAAGCAGCTTTTTTGCTAGAGCTTCCCAGAAAATGAGACCGGAACATACCGGAACTACTTAAATATAGGAAAAGCTGGATTGTAGTTTGGCTTGGAATTACTATTGTAAATTAGCAATCTATTCCACTACCATACCTAATCTATTCCATTACCCTTACCGCCTTACCCATCCCACAGCATTTCACCCAGCATGAAAGCCTTATGGCTGAGGGTGAAGTGTCTTCCATCACCATCTCCCAGTCGAAAATTGCCAATTTGGATGAAGGCACTTCCTCGGTCGAAGATTGGGCTAGTCAGTTTGGTGGGATGAACAAAATTTAGGAAAGGAGAAACATCAGCCGACCATCAGCCGCAGCAAACAAAATCCGCTAGTCATCTCCAAGTGCGGAGAGAAAGGCTCCAACCATTACCGTTTGCAACGAAAAAGGCTAGCTTCCACCTACAAAATTAAAGCAACAACGGATTGTAAATTCACGACATTGGGTACCCCATTGTCCTTGCAGTAACATCTGGTGAGTGTGATCGCTTGGTCCGACCATGGGGATGGGTCAAAACCTATGATTATAATCCATGTGCATCTATAAATCATGGTATCTTATAATATAAACATATTTATGGGTCCTCATGGGTCCTCCATAAATGGAATTCTTATATAATATATATATATATATTTGTGTATATACATATATAATTGCATGAACATCCATAAATCCCAGCTATTTTGGTCAGGTGCCAGGGTACCCTGACCGGCACTTTTTGGTCCCATTTTTCATCCCATGGCAACGGGCCCCCTTCGCACGCCGAGGTTCCAAATGTGATCCCTGAGGGAAATCCCTGACGGAAGTTGGTGATCCCCGACCCACATTGGCTTTGGACATGGAAAAAGATACCATCTGCTGGTTGGTGGTTTCAACCCCTCTGCAAAAATATGAAAGTCAGTTGGGATGATGAAATTCTCAATATATGGAAAAAAAAGTTCCAAACCACCAACCAGATCTGGTCATGGAAAATTCCTTATACATGGAGGTTTATAGCTGGGAACATCATCTGTAAAGGGGCCATTTTCCATAGCTATGTTAAAGAACCAGAGGGTAAGTTTAAGGCTTCGTGAAGGGACATTAACAAAAACATCAACCCTCAGTTGCGATGTTCTAGGACCCGCGCTGGTTTTGGGTAGTACATTTGGGGCTAGCAGCCTTAGCGTTCTGTGATATGGCCTCTATGTGATACAGGATACTAAACATATCGGTGTTGGAAGAAACTTATCAAGTACGCTATAGGGAAATATAGGAAAACGATTCTGGCACGTGAACCATAACAAAATACAAACAAAATGCTACCTCACATGAAGCCACCTTTGTAACAGTAACATAAGATCACGGTTGATTGTTTGTTTGCTAAAAGCGTGAACAAATACGATTACTGCCTCTTGTACTATTTTTTTTGCAACATCTATCGTAGCTCATGTGCAGTATAGTTGACACATCATCTTGGATTTGCCTAAGGAACCTTAGAAAAAAACAACAAACAACATGCCCTATAGATTCCCCAAGGCGTGGATTTCCATGTATTTCCACTATCAGCGAATCCTACAGTATTCCATGACATATCCCCTGATGGTTAAGCCCAGCTCGCAACCTTGGGCCGATGCCAGGCGCTGTAGTCCTTAGATCCATTGCTGGTCGGGAAGGGATCCATAATTTATAGGACGATTGAATCTTATGACTGCAAAGCATAAAGGAAAATGATGGAAAAATGATGGACAAATGATGGAAAATGATGGAGTTTAGAGTAAAGAAAGGAACGTGGGATGGTTTCGCATGTTGAATCATGATAGGTAAGTGTTCACCATGACAACGGTTGGATTTTTGCTGCATCTATCTGTAGTTGGGGCAACATAAACCAACGTGTAGTCGCAGAAAATCACAATGACTTATCTTATCCCTTGATTGATCGCAGATTCTCACTATGGCGCGTGGTCCCTGAGTCAGGAAGCCTATAGAGGCGACCGAGCCATGAACAACTGCCCCTTTTTTTCCCATCCCATTTTGCTTTTTCGAAAGGTAGCCCGCCATGGCTTGTTATTATCTGCAATAAACATCAATCAACATCAATAAACGAGGTATTCTCAACCCGCTGTAACCAATTAGCCTGGTGCCCAGTGATCGCCAGTGATCGCTGTCGCAGATCCGGTCCCCAAAACTTTTCTGCAATCGTTTCTCCACCAATCGTTTCAAGACCAGACTGGTTGGTGGTTTGAAAATTGGATTTTAATGGGATTTCCATGGTTAATAATGGTTAATCATGATCAATCATGGTTAATGGTCTGGTTGGTGGTGCAATAACCATCTTGAAAAATGATGGAGTTCGTCAATGGGAAGGATGACATCCCATATGAAATGGAACATCAAAAATGTTTGAAACCACCAACCAGAAGATGTTTCAAGTTGGTCTTCGCAACCCTCTCTGTTTGAAAAAGTCCAGCAGGTACCAGTCTTCGCGGTCAGGAGTCCAGCAGACGTGTCCATTGTTAAAATCAACGTCACAGCAGCGACGGACGTTTGAAACCCTATGGCGATGGGGTAGACGGAAACAGTATCGGAAACAGTATTAAAAAATAAACACATAAACAAAGAACAAAAATAGCTTGCTGCTTGCTATGTTTTTTTCACAGAAGTTGTATCATACAAATTGGAAATCAACAAATAATTGTGTTTTTCTTTTTTTTACGTTTCCATCCATTATCCTCTGAAAATTGCAAATCTTCAGTCGTGCCACCAAACGCAATTTGTTTATTTCTTCATTTATAGCCCCATGTATATATATATATAATTATATTCACCAAGAAACCTAACAGTTAATCTGGTTTCAAACTCAATTCATCCCATGTAAATTGACCATTTATAAATGGGTTATAACATGTTATAACCTAGAACTATAGTTGAACAGGTCGTAATCAGACTTACTACTCACTACATGGGGTGATCCTCCAAACAACTAATTGAGCCATTCAAAATACATCAAAATACTAATTGGTTGATGGGTTTCCCTACTATGGGCTAGTCCTTAAAAGCCCAAGTCATTTATTCAATAAATTTCAATAACTCATTTAGCTCCCCATGGTCCTTGGGAGAAGGCCCCCACCAAGCATCTGTGCGTCCAGAGATCATCACCCCATCCGCGCGGAAGATTTGCGGCGTTTGACCGTCCTAGTGCCGCTTGTTTCGGGACAAGTGAGATTAAGATAGATTAAGCCCATGGAAATACAGATTCAATAAATTGGTTCAATATGATTTGATTTGAGTCAACAAAAATTGGGATTGAATCAACTAATAGTGGCATTTCACCAACATACAAAAAACATCAAAAAACAATAAAAAACATCAATCCATTACAGGTAAACCATGGTTTTCTTTACCCCTGAATATAGGCTGAATATCTTGGGAGTTCCAATTTCGGCATACGGGTGGTCACATCATCCATATAGTCAAGGTGCGAGACATGCCCGAAACAGGGACCTGACCGTCTGACCTGGGCCTTCTTTGTTGAACATCCAGGTCTGGAATAGTCCAGGAAGGAACTAAGGAACCCCCTAGAGACGAAAGTTGGCTGGCAACTTGCAACTATGATAACCTGAATTTATGGTGGCTATATCGGTAGTTGGGGTTCAATTCAACTTGTAAATTGGGGGCGCCCTTCCTGTTGTATCTAGAAATTACCCAACTGGAATTCTGTATTGAATTTTGACATATGATAAAACCATAAATTTATATAATATGGTACAATGATATAATGGTCCTGCAAACAAAACAACTGGTTACTATGTTCCTTCATGGCAACACATATGGTTCCATGATTCAATTTTTCACCCACTCTGCCATGCTGATCCCGCTGGCCAATCCCACTGGCCACAGTGGCCACGCACCTGATGCGAGATACTGAAGTGTGTCTCATCAATGGCCGCCAAACGCCACTTGCCAAGCCTCGGGCTGTCCCATTACAGCCATTGGTAAGGGAAGAAACGACCAGCTTTGGAGATGGTCTTATTGTTCTTAGCGTTTAGTTACAACCTCCATTTTCTCATTGGTTTTATTGATATATATATATAATTAATTATATATATAGTATAATAAATAATATAATGATATATATAGATATAGATGTCGATGAAGCATGAACATGTTCAAAACCCAGCAAATACGTTGGCAGGAGAATCACCCCATGGGGATACGCCTAGTCTCTAAAGGATGCGAAGACCAACCAAGATATTCGAGGACTTTGGACTCCAGTTTTGAACAAGCCCTGTCTGATCCATGCCACCTATATTTTGACTCGCATCTCTATAGGGATATGTTGTGATATGTTATGATATGGTTTTGTGTATAACGTATCATGACATATCATATAACAAGGGATAATATCTATAGGGATTATTATGATAATCTCCATAGCGATTATTATCACAAGATTTAGGATGTGAAAAAAAAGGATAATCATGTCTATAATACTCTATAGATATGGTATGATATGGCTGATAAAACAACTGAGGCTGAAATTGTGGACATAATGAAGATCTAGGTGCATATGTATATATATATGTAATTATATACATGTAATTGTATATATATATATGTAATATGTAGTTATATATAAATGTAATATGTAATTATATATATGTGTATATTTAAATATGTAGTTATACATATATATGTATATATATATAATAATATATATATATATATATATAATAATATATATATAATTACATATATACATATATATATATATATATGTAATTATATATAATTATATATATATATATTAAATATTATTATAGTATATATATATATTATATCTAATTCATGAGGATATTCAGTTTACAGCAATAGAAGAAGCAACAATAGCCTCCCCCATATGTTTGATTAACCTATAGGGAAATTAAACACATTTGGCAGCCGCATCCCAGAATTACAGTATATCAATGAACAAACATGTCCCCCACATTAGTTCCATCAAGTGAATTCTCCGGCATGATTTTAGTCATATAGATTACCCTCTGGTAAATTAACATAGACCCTGGCAGATAGGGGTTGGAAGACTAGTTTCCACTATAAATTAGTCATTTTCAGGGTCTATGTTTATTTACCAGAGGGTAACATAACTTATGTAGCAACATTGATTAAATTACATGACAAAACGACTATCCCCCGAAAAAAGTTGTCATGACATGATTGACTCTGTGGGCTCTCCGGCTCTGACTTGGAATCTCCCCCATGTGGTCATCCACGAGATTTCTTGGCTAATTACCCAGATATATCATGATAGATCATTTATGATTGTTTATGATGATTTATGATGATTCATGATGATTTAGATAGCAATAATTATCATGATTATGTTCCAGAACACAATCATGAATTACTACAGGGTATATCCATCATAAACCCTATAGTGGCTCTAAACGAAGCTAGCTAAGTGGGGAGCCACCACCTTGTTTGGATCCACACAAGTGGGGATGTTACGGGGACATTTCAATGATCATTTCGGGGACTGGGGTGCACCACCCATGAAGTTATATAATTATATAAGTATATTTCAGTATATATAATTTATATAAGTATGTATATATATAAATATAAGTATGTATATATATATATAGATTATTATATGTATATATGTATTAGATAGAAATCCACCCAACTCTATAAATATATCAGTTCTAAACCCCAGTGACACACAGTGACACCGGCCAAAAACTTGGGCCGAGCTGCTCGATGAAGCGATCCCCAAAGCCACCGAAATTGGAACAGGCGCCGAAGGTCAACTCATCCAGGCCCTGGCATTAAAGGTGCACCTGGAAGTCAGCTATTTGATGATTAATTAATATACACTATATATGTATGAAATATGTATGATATGTATGTAATAAGATCATATGTATATATATATATTTATTTCATGTAATTATGTATACATATATATATAGAGTCTATTTGCTTATTAAACAATATACAAGTTTGTTCAAAGCTTGCATTAACATGTTCGCGCCGGACCAAAGCTTCGCCCAACCCAACGGATATGCCGGATCCGTGACTTAAATGTCTGGTCCGCAGAACAGTTTGGACATGTTTGGACCTGGGAGTTGTCTGAAAGATACGGGAAAACTACCACACTTTGATGATCTTTGATGGTTTATCATGATTTTCCCCGGTTAAAACCGCTATGATACGCAGGTATAGCCCATTTTCAGACACTCAACCCCTCAGCCCCTCAAATCAGAGCGCCTGACATTCCCAATGAGCACCAGGCAAGGCCATCACGCTGGACCAGTCTTGGCCTTGGAGTTTTCCATGTGGAATGGGAATCATTTTCACAGATATGTGCTTCAGCCAAATATGTCTAAATATGTTTAATATGTATATATATATATAATTATATATATATACAAAAAAAAAAAACAAATATATGGGACTTACACCTACACCCACACCCAGAAGATGGGATGAAGTGGGATCAAACAAAAAAAACATGTTAAGTTCATACATGTTTATATTATCAATACTATTAATAAGCACACCGTAATTCATCAACGCCCACATTTCATGTTTTTTGGCAATACTACTTTGGGTGGGTTCCTCATTAATCAACATGGGTGGTCACCCCCTCAAAAACCACTGGAAAACCAGTGGAATCAACCCATGGTTGCCATGGGCATTTCTGATACTAGATCTCATGATTCCCATTCTATTTTTTTCTACCCTCTGGTAATTTAACATAGCTATTGAAAATACCCCATTTATAATTGATTTACCTATTCAAAATGGTGATTTTCTATAGCTATGTTAGTTTACCAGAGTGTAAATCTCATGAATCCAATTTTTGGTTTTGCTGCTCATGTGGGGTGAACACCTTCTCATGGATCTAGACCTTCTGCAGGGTTTATGCAAACATGGACAATGGCACCAAATCCCAAGGGGGCAAACATAGGGCTTTAATGGTTTAATCATAAATAACAATGAATATCATGAATGGAATATATATATATTTATATATACATATTGTTTAAAAAATAATATGTTACTTATTTATATATATAATTAGATAAAAACCAAGATGATCGTCAAGTTAAAGCAAAGCCGTGTCTCTCCGTTATCCCGAGTTTGTTCACCATGTCGAGCCATTCCGAAGTTAACCGTCGATCAGCTCTTTGCAGTACAGTTCACAGCTGAATCGCGTGGGTCATCACTACCGCCACTTAAGGTTGGTTGTAATATGGCAATAGCCCCCCCATGAACAGTTTAAGATTTATATACTGTATAATATAATGGTTTAGACTCTAGTTATACTAGCTATATAAATATATAATTATTTATATATAATGATTGGCTTAGCCAGCTTGAGAGCCAATGACTTGCAACCCCAACAGCAATTCTGCAAGCCTTGAACATTGATCAACTAGCCTTTTTTCAATGGCAAATTATCCCCAGGCCCTCTGCAGAAGCATATTTCATGTATGGGCGTACCCGCAAATCATCCATTCTTGGGATTTTCCAGAAAATAAAACATCCAGCTATAGGGGTACCATGGCTTAGGAAACCTCTTAAATCTTGACTCAGGTCCGGCTCTCAGACTATGAAACCAATTGTTCAGTGCCCAAAATGCCCATAATCTCTGGTTGGTGGTATACCTACCCCTCTGAAACATATGAAAGTCAGTTGGGATCATTATTCCCAATATATGGAAAGTCATAAAATTCCATGGTTCCAGTCACCACCAACCAGTCATGTTTTCCCTGGCGTCCAGTTGGATGAATCTTTCAACTGGAGTTTTAGTCGATTTCCCAAAAAGAATCCACCAACGATACCCGCTGTCGCTTGGGTCCAGGTTCTGGAATCACTGCTAGCATGGCTAGTACCATCCGACCTATGGAGACGGTCCATCCGAATGGCGAATGCCGCGGCTGGAAGGATGTGGCGATGAGTCAAAACGCTGAGGTTTTTGATGCCATGGATTCACCAGAAAATATGGCATTTTTGGGTGCATGGTATAATGCCTGGCATTCCAATCGGGAAAGGGATAAACCATGGGATTTTTAGGGGTACCCGGGGTACCTGAAACTTTTCAAATCAATGGCAATCTGGATCTGAAAATGAGGTACTCAATGCGGTACCATATTTTGGCCATACCAGACCGTTGTAAAGGGATGGTCATCGTACCAGAATCAACAAAAGCTACTCTAGAGATAACACAAGACACCCCTAATATTATGGACCCTGTGCACTAAATTACACTATAAATTCAATTGTTGTGCAAATTCCTACTAAACCATCGTTTCTAGATGGAGTTTATGAACCGAAGCAGGGATTCATCAGTGCTGCAAGACTTCGCCAAGATCTCCACCCTCTGGACTTGAGGATCTGAGGGAAATCGAACATGGCTGGGAAATCTCCGCAGAAAATGGGCATTTTAATGGGAACATCTGTAAATTTTAGGCAGTTTCCCATGGCAAAATCCGTAACACCCCTGAAGCTTTGGTGAGAAGGTACCAAAGGACTTGGGATAAATCATGATAAATTTCCCATCAGAAATATGCTGGCGTCATCCTGTGTAGAGATGGACATGCACGGATATATTCACCTATAGGGGCCGACCTATGCCATCCTCAATTGATGTCTGATGTTTGCAATGGTTTTGCCAACAATTACTCTCTTGACTCTCTTCACCTAGGAATCTCCTTTAACATCGACCCGGCCCGTACCATTCATCAAGGTTTACCTGTTTACCTCTCATTCCCTACCCTCTGGTAATTTAACGTAACTATGGAAAATCACCATTTTTAATGGGAAAACTCACTATAAATGGCCATTTTCAATAGCTATGTTAGTTTACCAGAGGGTATCCCATCTCAAAAACATCCCACGCCCCCAGGTGCCTCCAATACTGATTGCTGACTCCAGCGCTATGCGACAGCACCAGGGGAGATTCCTCACCTCAGTTGACCTATTTGACCTGTCAAAACCTGACGATGGCCTGACGGTCGACTCCCCCAGGAATCCTCCTAAATGTAAAACATATCCACCATAGATCCTAGATGATCCTAGTGATTGTAGTTACAAAACAACTTAGCTATCTTTAGGATTCTTGAATGGGCCTTCTGGGTAAACCATAGTAAACCATATAGAATCCATATAGAATATCAATGTTTATATCATCAATTCCTGTTTCACAGCCATTTTCTGTCAGGAACAAAACAGTTGGGCACATCCCGCCCCCCGATCTACTAAAAAAAACCAAACGCCCAAGGCGCTGGTGTCCAAAACGGCCAAACGGAACTTCCCGAACTGCAAGAACCTTCGCGCGGTCGGACAACGGTGGACATGGCATCAGGGCGCCATGACATGTTTGGATGATACAATGTGATCCAATGTGCACATTAGTGAATTTCATCCATAATCCATGTTTAATCCATAAATCCATAATCCCAATAGAATTTAATCCAATTTCCATTATTAAGATAATTAACCATAAGCCATGTTTTCCGATCGAATTTTGACCCATACAATCCAGTCACCGCATGTTGGTCTGGACGTTTCTGCTTGGGCAACGGCTCCTTTCCGCAACTGATCAGCCTTTTGTGTCAAAATATTCATCAGCAGGCATGACCGTCGTAATTTGACATGGCTAGCTGGAAGTCCCAACTTTTCATGGTCAAGAATGGAAGTACTATAATAAATTTCAACTGTTCTCATCTTTTCCCTGTGCCAATGTGCCATTAAAAGACCGGTAAAAAAATCATGGTAGAAACAGCTTCCCCCAGAAGATTCCCCAGTAGATTTGCCGATCTCCGGCCATTTCAGGAACCTAAATTGGAGGTAGGTTACCATATGTAAGGTCTCTTTTGGGGCTAAATTTCAAGGCTTTACATGACCAAAACTTCTGGCTTTACATGGAATTTTCCCATGAAATGGATCTCCAGAGGAAAATTTTCCCATGCCCTGGGCCTGTCGCCAAAAGCAATGCCTTCGGCCGCACTCTGCGGTCGGTCCCACGCATCGGTGCCTACGGGCCAATGACGGCGTCTCAGAGATACGGAGAGCAAAATGGTGATATCATGGGGCGTGCAACCAAAGGGTTACCCGGCCTGGTAATTTAATGGGATTTAATGGTGATTTAATGGTGATGTAATGGAGATATCCTCTGGTAATGACTGTTACAGTCTGCTATTTAAAAATTGAACATGGCCCAGTCGAAATAGTTGATTTACCCATTTTCATAGCATGGTGATGGTCCAGTTCGTTATGTAAACGTTTACCAGAGGTTATATGGCTGTGCCTCACATGAGATGTTCCTCCCAACAATGTTTTTTGTTTTTTTTTGTAGGGAAACTGATGATTAACCAGTGGATTTAGGGGGATCCCATGTTTAATCAAAATCATATAGACATGAAATATGTTTTAATCACCCCAAATAGGAATGCACCAACCAAAACTGGCCAACCATCAAAATGCATAGATGTTTGTATGCATATGTATTTTATATATATTATACACCTTATATTATAGTTTTGTTCTATTAAACTATGTGAAATTATGTTATTTCATATGATATCATGTTACGTAATGTCATATCATTTTACATTATACTATATGATAATATAGTATATTGTATTATATATTATTAAATCATATTATATTATATTATATTATATATTATATATTATATATTATATATTATATATTATATATTATATTATACTATATTATATTATGTATTATATTATATTGTATTATATTATATTATAATATAGCATATATCATATTATTATATATTTTTTATATATTATTATATATCATTATATATTGTTATATATTAATATATATTATTATACATTACTATTTATTATTATATTATTATATATATTTATATATTATATTATATTATGCTATATTATACTATATAATATTATGCCATGTAATATCATATTATGTTATAATATCATATTATAGTTTGATATATTATACTATATTTCATTATACTATATTATTGCATATATTATTACATATATTATATGATATTATACGTATATAGAGCACATAAACTGAAAATAAATAAATAATTAAATAAATAAATAAATAACTATATATATATATATATTACTAGCAGCCATCATGAATTTTAGCCAGATATAGCAGGTCTATGGATACTGGTAGAGTCAACATGATCGCTGGGCTCTTTCTGGTTTACAAGTGGCTTACCCTCTGACCGTCTGACCTGGTTTGCTTTTCGTATGTTTTCCCGCCAAAACAAGCAATCAAAACTGGTTGCAAGTGATTGATCGACTTTAAATGGTTCTTGATAAGCTGATACTAGAGAGGATACTAGTGGGAAACTGCAGGTTTGTTGGTGTTGTTATCCTTAAATCCATATGGTTTACAAGCAGGGTATTCCCACCAAGAATGGTCAAGTATCAGCCTTTGTCTTGGTTTGATGTAAAACAAACCCTGTTTCAACACGGGTATACATTGGGATGGTCCCCCAAACAAAGAATAGAGAAATTCCATGAAATTCCCAGTGAATAGTAGAAATTAGTTATCACCCCGGCTTGAAAAGTTCATCGAAAAATCCTTAGTCAACTAATCAGTCCTTACTCTTGCTGAAAAAAAAAGAACACTAAAAGTCCCATAGAAAAAACTATGAAAAACAGTAATCCTTTTCTGTAGCCTTCCCAACTTTCACAGATATTCACAGATCACTCCACACCTTGATCTCTCAAAGGTCCGACAAAGTTGCCGCCTCCCGACCAAAAGGCCTGGAGCCATATCTGGTTGGTGGTTGAGCCCTACCCCTCTTAAAAATGATGGACTTCGTCAGTTGAGATGATTATTCCCAATACATGGAAAGTCATAAAATTCATGTTCCAAACCACCAACCAGATATAGAAATGGCTCATGGCATGGCATAGCAAGCTCTCTTAGATCTCTTAGATTGCTAAAGGCTACCCTTTGACGCTTTCTTGAAATGATATGGCAAGGATTCCACGCGCGCTCCACGAGGAAACGAGTTCTAAATCCTGAAATCGTAGCCAGCAAGGCCCGAATTCTATGGCTCCACTTTCTTCCCAGCAAGATTTGAGAGTGTCCATGTTGTTGCGGGCTCGATGCGATCAAAGGATTAACTCCATTCCTACATCCAAGGTCTGCGCTACACTCAACTTCAGACACGGGAATTTATGATCTCAAGCTAAAGTTAAAACATTTACCCTCTGGTAAACGTTTACATAACTATGGAAAATCACCATGCTATTAATGGGTACATCCACTATTTCGACTGGGCTATTTTCAATAGCAAACTGTAACAAATTACCAGAGGGTACAGCAGGTCTCAAATCTCAAGCAATATCTTTGATAAATCCACTAGTTTCTCTGTGGTTTTTCTGCATCCCAGTATCCCACGATCAGCGCCTGGATGGTGTTGCCGTTTGAATGGCTAATGGAGAAGCAAGTGTCGTTCACGGCCCCTATGCCTTGGCGCGGATAGGCACCGGACTTGCTGCCAGGTTTATGGGGTCCAAGGCTTGTCCTTTTAGTGTTGGATAAGGCCCTTAATAAGCATTGCCGACCCCTACTTCCACGTAGGGACCCAGGATGTATACATGATATATATATAATATATATATATATATGTGTGTGTGTGCACATAAAGGTTTAATTTAATAGATACATATGCGCTGGATGGAAGCATTCATATATAAATATATATTATACAATTCAAAATGCGCATGGAAAACATGTTCCAGCACAAAAGCGATTGATAATGCCAGGATATAATCACCACCAGCAGCAACGCATGTGTTTTGTTCCCCATCTTCCCGGGGCAAAGAACGTCAACGAACACGTGACAAGGGACGGAACTGCCCAATTTGAATAAATTGAAATCCGAAAAGGACCTCAGCAACAGAAAGGCTCATTTCCACCATTAATGTGGAGATGGACCCCAACTGATGTGGTGAAGCCAACAATCTACCAGGTCTACCATACCAATTCCAATTCTTACCACTTGCTACTCTAAACCATGGTCCCAGTTCTCATCGGGATCAAGTCAGACCTTCTTCAATACAAATCTTCATGGCTGGAACTTGGTAGATACACCTATGGATTTATCTTAACATGGGGTATACACAAAATTGATCCAAATCGATCCAACTCCACTTGTTGATCATCGTTTTTTTCTATCGACCAATACCCAGATGCTCCATGTAAGGTATATTTACCTACAAAATGTGATTATTGGGGCAAATGTTGGTAAATATTCCATACATGGAGCATATATGGGATACTTTAAAGGGCCATAAATTGGGATTTCAGAGACGAAAACTAGCTGCAGATTGGGGCAGTCACCACATCCCAAGAAATGTTCACCTGAATTGCCCATCTGAATAGAACCTCAGCTAATCAAACGTGGCTAACTAGAAAGTCCCAACTATATATATATATAGAAATAAACCTCGAATTATGTATGGGATGTCGTAGCTATTTCTCATTTTTTGTGCAGCTTTCATTTCCATTTCTTTTGGTTTAAATATGTTTAAATCCACCTAAATCCCAGTTTTTTTAATGGCTACGGACCTTTCCTTGTTGGCATAGCTGATGACCCAAATGCGGGAATCATCAGCCGCTCTGAAGCAAAGGAAAGGCGACGTGATATGGAGCCGACACAGACCTCGGCTTGTGCACGCAGCAGCTGACGGGTGGGTGTGGTACACTGGTTGAGCCATGAGCCATGAGAAACAACCGTGTCGCGTGGAAAAAGGCACCACCAAAAAGATTAAAAAGTGAAATCTAACCAAAAGAGTGGAGTGCAAACTATTTTAGTTGAAAAGAATCTTGTCAAAACAAGTCCTAGTCCCGTCGCATATGTGGCCAGGGGGCCGCTCAAATGCCAAAAGATCACTTCGAGAGTGCAAAATTGCACCATCTTGACGGAACACAATGGCCTTGCGGCCTACCTCAGTTACTTGGCTTGGATTTTTCCGGAAGCTCTGAAGGTTGGAATGCACCATTTAAAGTGGGCATGTTCACCGGCGAAAGTGGGAGGTGATGTAAGTTTCTACTTTGCTGGGATCATGAACGATGGATTCTATGGATCCATGGGTGACTGGTTTTGATGGAGATGTGTTTGTTTCATACTCCAGTTAAAACAGTCTTGTTTTCCGAGGGAATATCCAACCAACCAAGACTCGAAAACCGGGTGGTTTTCACGCATGGAAGTTTTAGGGTACCAGCTAAAAATGGGATCGCCTCAAATCGCAAATTCATGCAATCACACGACATAGTTAGGACATGTTTTTCACACCTTTCCCCAGGTTTTGGATTGTGAAATCTGCTGACTTACCAGCTAAGTTACCCCATCTCTTTGTCAACCAGTGGGAACTTGTTTCATCTCCGGACCAAACAATACACCCCAGTGATGAGGCCTGTGGTGCCAGTGATGACATGATTTGTTTTTTGTAAAAGCCCAGCTAGTTCGATCTACGATAAAGCCTAGTGAAATAGTGAAATACTGTATCAGTTTTAGAATATCAACACCAATTGGTGTAAATAAATAAATAAATAAATATATATATATATACTATATATCCAAAGTACAAACACCAGTTAGTGTATTGGTAAACCACTAGTTTTATCCCTATAAACAGCAGTTTTAGAATAAAGCAGTTTTTTCGCCCGGCACCAGGCCTTGTTATCCGATCATCCCAGTTAAATCTCACCATCCCGGCACGGAAAAAGATGGGCAAAAAAACCACAGATCCCAGCGACTTACCCTCTGGCAAACATACAAAAAGCTATTGAAAATGGTCATAGAAATAGTGGATTTTCCCATTAAACATTGTGATTTTCCATAGTTATGTAAACGTTTACCAGCGACTTAACATGTTCTCCCAGTTTTCTTCGCCCCAAAAAATGATGGTTGATCATGATCTTCCCTATCTTAACACTATATCTATCTATATCTTGGGTCCTGTGGTATTCACCTTTCTTTTAACCAAGTACCCCACTTCTGGTGATATATCCCATTGTATCCCCGATGGTCTCCAATCATACCACCATGAAATATCAATATCATATATCCAATGTTTATGGTAGTCACACTCAATTCATGGCTACTGGCGCCCCATGCTATCTATTTTGCTGGGGGAATACGGATACCCTAGCGGCCCTAGCTCAGCTCACCGCTACCTCAATTCACCACTAGATAGTTGGATTTGGTTGAGGACCCGCTTCTAAAATAAAACATAGAACACGTATTACACTCCTACGGAGAGTACCAAAACAAGATTCACCACTCAAAGTTCAATAAAAATTGCAAACATAAACATAATCCTGACATAAAACCACTTGATTGACATGAGGAATATTCGATTCCTTAAAGTAAATAATACCACATCGGTGATATACCTAGAAATATTCCACTTGAACCTAAAATTGGGTATATTATTTATCTTATTTAATGTCATTCTATTCCATTAAAAAACAACACATTAAATCACCACAAATCACCATAGTTTTCGTGGTTAAAATATCGAATATTTTTTGATATATGAAATCATAATTTTTGATGGATTTTGATGGTTAAATCCCTCAAAAAATCACCATCATCCCAGTAAGGTTCCATGAATGATGAAATCACCATGCTTCTGGCTTCAAAAGCCATTAAAAACCACCATCTTTGATGCACATATCCCAAACAAATCACAATTGTTCTTGGTTTCATGGAGGATTTTCCCATGGCCAAAGCATTAAAATAGCGCCATGGAGCCCGGTTGGCGATCGACAGGTGCTCGTCATCCCAGGCAGCTAGGCGCCAGGGTCCCAGGTCCACAAAGCGATCCCCCATGGGAAGCTCCGGGCACATCTGCGGTCACTGGGATACAAAACATGGGAAAATGGATGGAAGATTCATGGAGAAACTCTGATTTCACCCAACATCTGATAGAAAAATCTGGGAAAATTTGGAAGTAGCACCAAAACTCTATGGGACCATGGTGATTTTGACCAACAAAAGTTTGGGGAAATTGATGAAACATATATGGGACATATCAACAAACATATGGCATTTAAGCAACCATGGATGAACATGGTCACAACCCACCATCGAAGTCAAGAACCCCGACCTCACCATAGCAATGTGCAGAGATCCAATTCGTATTATTGCCTCAGCCAAGGTCAAACAATTGGCATGTTTACTTCTATGTTTATCTATGTTTATCCACCCTCTGGTAAACATACAAATAGCTATTAAAAAAATGGCATAGAAATAGTTGATTTACCCATCAAAAATTGCGATTTTCCATAGTTATGTAAACGTTTACCAGAGGGTATGTTTATCTATGTTTATCGATGTGGTTTCATGTTTCAAATATATGTGCCTCAACGTGCTCTTCAAATTTGCAGGACTTTGCCAAGGACGCGGCTTTCCACAAAAAACTACCAGTACTGCGTTGGTTTTCCTAGGGACTTCCGTAATGGATGATGATCATCCCAAATAATTATAGTGCTGGTTGGCGGTTGAGCCCTACCCCTCTGAAAAATATGATAGTAGTCAGTTGGGATGATTATTCCCAATATATTATGGACAAATAAAAAAATGTTCCAAACCACCAACCAGCAAATATAGTGGATAACCTCCGACAATCACCAACAACAGGCTTTCTAACACTGCGCATTAGAACAGGCTGTTTCTGTTGCAGTCTAAATCCAAACTGCCACCATCATCTTGAGTTTTCTGCTGGAATTCGCACGGGGCCAGGTTTCTTTTATCCCCGTGTCAAACTTGGCAATTCGAAGTCCGTCATTTGTAGCTGATTGGATTTGCCTTTGAAATTCAATAATGTCATACATTGCAAGATTATGTGATCATCAAATTGCCACTTGGGGTTAAATGGGTTGTATATACCTCTATATTTGCGTACATATCACATGTCGTCATGTCAATTCCAATTTAAAGCTATCTTAATCATGTGGCCCCAACTCAATATACTTGTTGACATTTAGCTATGCAATACAATGCTTAAATATATATAGAAACAAACAACTCCTGAATTTCATCATTTAGGTGATAAAAATGAAATAGTTAATTACTATGGTCATTTCTATGTTTGTGACTATCTGTTTAATTCGACATATACTTATATGTCAACATTAAATTTGCATTTAACATGTTTACCCTCTGATCATTGAAGATGACTGGAACATCTCCAGCAATGGTTAGATGATTTTCCCAGCTTGCCACGCTGACACCGGAGGGTACCTTGATGGTTTTCCCACGTTTAACATCACACATGGTATCACATGGTGTTTCCAAGATGTTTTCTAGTTCCCACATGTTCACAATTTAACCACAAATCATCGAATCAAACATGGCGTGCTGGAAAACCCAGCATTTGGTTTGATGATTTTCGCGAACCAAACCTCCATTTATTAGCGGATTTTCCCACATCTTCCCATATGTTTCCCATGGTTTTCTCCCGTTCAAACCTGCACAAAAGAGATCACACTGGGCCAGGGTTCCGCCGATGCCATCCTGATCTTGCGAAGATCGTTGGCTCATGCCCCAGCAGTGGCCGTTGCTGAAGACTACTTGTTGACAGGCCTGTTTCGACGATTGGGGAACTCCGTGGGCTGAACTATCATGTCTTTCAGGTACTCATAATATTCGAGCTACTCATCATCATCATATATATATATATATAGCATTTATATAATATAGGATTGATATGTCCAAAGAGAAAGTGCTTGGTACTGTAATCCCTGTCGACTAAGTATCTGAACAAGACACGCTCGGTTTTTTCATCCGACTTTCTGATGAGATCGCCATACAAATGTCCATCGGTTTAGATCCACATTTCCAGCGAAATCGTGTTAGATCCCCATGATTTTGCTATTCTTGTTGATTAAACCAAAAACAGCCAACCTCATAGCCATATCTTTGTCCAAAAAAAATCTTGGCTTTTTCAAACATCCATCACCATCAAGATTTCGTCCATATCATCCCAGGTAATCATTAATCTTGGCGTAACGAAACGCGCCTCAGTTTCGGAGCAAAGATCCAGACAAGTTTGCCAATTCTCCACCTGTCCACCATATGCTGTGCTGCCCAATGGGATCCTCAGCTTGGCTTCTCCAAAAAGTCACATGGGCAGTGAGTGAAAAACCACTCAACCAGCACAAATTGAGGGGATTATAACATATAGCTCTAAATATGATTGGATATATCTATATAAAGACAAAACAAATGAAGACTGAAATCCTTCTTAAAATACCTGTGAAAAGCGTCCTTTGTTTGTTTTCAACTCATCTTCGTTAAAATCAATCCCAGTTTTCATCGACAGAGATGCCACCTAAACATGGAAAGGTGGGGATTTGACCTAGACGTGTCCAATCTATGATCATCATGAGAAGGACAATGATGACGAAACATTTTTTTTAAGGCTATCCATGGCTATCCTACTTTCAAACAAACAAAACATCATCAAACTTTAGTGTTTTTTTGACATTATTTCACGGCATTCCGATCTTAAAAAAGGGTGAAGTTCCCACCACCAAACGATACAGGACATGGACATGCCGTTCTGCGAAGCAGATCCGAGATTATCAAACTACAACTAATCTGAAGTTCATATTATTACCCTCTGGTAATTTGTTACATAGCTATTGAAAATAGTCATTTAGTTCGTGGATTTACCCATTGAAAATGGTGATTTTCCATAGTTATGTTAGTTTACCAGAGGGTAATCCTCCTAGAATTCATCAACGCCCACAGTCCAAATATGTCCAAAGATTAAATATGACATATTATGACATTATTAGTACATGACATTAGAGATGACAGCTAGAAATGATACCACCCAAATCACCCAACAAAAAAAGCTGGACGTCAGCGCAAGCACCGACAGTTCATCCCAGCAACTCGCTGCCAGCGGTGTAGGCGAAACGCCACTTCTCCGCAGTCTCGCAGTTCCGCGCAAAGGTTTTACCCAGATCCACCTGGTTGGCGTGGTGCTTGGATGATTTATGTCATGAGGATCAAATCACAGGCACCACAACATGAAACAATGATGTTTGGGTAAGGGGTGAACGTGAAAGAATATTGTGGTTGTTGTTGCAATGTCAATTTCATGGTTTTAAACACCATTAAACATGCAAAACATCAAACGATCTGAAACATGCAGATTTGCAAACAGTCTTGGACATACATACTCATAGTCCAAGGTGACTCCATTAAGACGCAGCTGTGCCACGTGTTGTTTTCATGTTCATCCACGACACTGGAAAATAAGGCCACAAACGGGTCGAACTGATAGTTCAATTTTAGTTCAATGGATAATACAAACAACACATATCATCTGTTTACATCAATTGTTTTTTCTTTCTTTTTTAAAAAAATATGATAAGAGACATTTGATATGTATGTATGTATATATATATATATATGTGTGTGTGTGTAGTGTGTATATATATATATATAGAGTAAATATATATATATATATATGATCCCTCTATAACGCTGTGATGGTTCAGCAGATTGACACCCTGCCAGTTCCCATGGCTCCGAGGTACTTGTCCAGAGCAGTGGGCTGAAGTGTAGTGAGAGTTGCTACCTGCCAGTTCCATCCAATGGCAGCACTGGGCTGATCATGATGGCTATACGTGGTATAAATATGGGATGTACCCTCTGGTAAACTTACGTAGCTATGGTAAATCACCGTTATTAATGGGTAAATCAACTATGTCTATGGCCATGTTCAATAGCAAAGTGTAACAAATTACCAGAGGACAAGCTTTTAAGTTGAGACATGTCACCTTGTTGTTCGAGGGACCAATGGGACCAAGAATAGGTTTTCACGCCATGCTAACTAACATACCCAATAATTAATAACTACATCCCCAAGATTCCCCACTGAGGCCTGTAATGGCTGTAATTCGCCTTCTGAAAATACCACGGTCCCATGGTCCCACCCTATGATCCTCGTGGATTGACATGTATAGAACCCATCGGCCCATAGGTTTCGATCATCCCAAATAGACCAGCACTTAGGTACACTAAAAAAGGGGCCCCAAAAAAATAGCTTAGTTTATGTTAGTTTATGTTGGTTTAGTTCGCTACAATCACTAGTTTGTTTTTTGAGAATTATATAATATATCATATTTCATCGAACAAGTTCGATGGGGCTATAAACCAACTTAGACTTATAATCAACTAGGGGGCCCCACTATATATAACACCCTACAATACCCTCTGGTAAACTAACATAGCTATATATGTATATATATATAGAACATAAGCCATTTATAGTTGATTTACCCATGAAAATAGTGAATTTCCAGTTTGCTATGTAAACGTTTACCAGAGGGTAACCAATCAACAGACCCATATACTCCATGGTGCTGGAATATAAAAAACAACATTTGCCCTTGTCCAAAATCACCCACTTTTGTAGGTTTTTATATACCAGCACCATGGTTCGCAGATGGGAGGGCTATGTTTCACCAAGCGCTTCAAACGGTCCCAAACGCTGCCGTACGTCCCAAGCGAAAAAGCCGGGCGCCTCCCAAAGCGTCTTGGTCTTCACTGGAGGCCACGCTCATCCCATAACAGTGACCTCCGGCAAAAACCACCTGCGCACAGTCCTGCCGGGGAGATGACATTGGTTTAACCTACAAAATTATGGGATTATTATGGATTTTTATGGTGTAACCTACACAATTTCTGGGATTATGGTTTATGATTGGAAGATTATGATGGTTTTTGAATGGAATGTTATTATGGTTTATGAATGGAATATGAACGGGATGATTGTGGGATGATTATGGAAAGTAATCACCAAATTAACATAGACCCTGAACATGCTAATCCTGTTCTAGTGGAAAACCATCCAAACTCCAAAAAATTGGCAGGGTCTATATATTACCATCTGGTTATTTAACAGTTCGCCATGGAAAATCACTATGCTTTTAATAGGTAAACCATCTATTTCTATGGGCCATCTATACCATGGCTATGTTAGTCATAACCAGAGGGTAATCTTAGGAGTGTCTTAACCCCCAACTTAAGCATTGGAATGACCATCCGGCCAAGTCATCCAATGGGGCTATGATTGATAGCGCCCCGTTGAAGATGGTCAACAAAAAATGGAACATCCATGTTGGCCAATATTGTGCTGGTTATTGGTATACCTACCCCTCTAAAAAATATGAAAGTCAGTTGGGAGTATTATTCCCAATATATGGAAAAAAAAATGTTCCAAACCACCAATCAGTATGAATATTGCCAAGATATTGTTGACATACCCTCTGGTAAACAAACATAGCTATTGAAAATGGTCATAGAAATAGTTGATTTACCCATTAAAAATGGTGATTTTCTATAGTTATGTAAACGTTTACCAGAGGGTATAATGAATATTGCCAATGGTGTCATAAGGGGAATATTTCATTATAATTGGGATTCCCTTATTTGATTAAGATCCCTAATATGTTGGATAGCTTCACCCCAGTAATCAATTGGGAATACGTGATCCAAATTTCTGGTTCCCAGGTACCCCCGCAAACTTCCCAAAACTTTTTTGGACATAAATGTCCCATAGATTCCTATAGCTGTTCCATTTGATTGCGAAAAACAGGTGTCCATTCACGACCAGGCCTGTGTAGTCGAACATAGATGCAAACATGCATCCCAGTCACCTGTAAAAAAAGCGACATCAACCATCAACCATTCGCGCCAGTGGGTTCATTCAGCCATGAGACTATACTAATAACATCTAATAACACTGTTTATTCCTTATTGGTACATATAATAATCATACGTATAATTAGGTTCATGTTGTAGTTTTGTTTTGAACTGTTTTTGGTGCAACCACAAAAATCACTGGGATCCGGCGATGCTCATGGAGTTTCAAGGATCCAGCCGGCTGCCAATTTCAAAGGTGAAATGGTAAATCACCATACCCTCTGGTAAACTAACATAGCTATGGTATAGATGGCCCATAGAAATAGATGGTTTACCTATTAAAAATGGTTATTTTCTATAGCTATGTTAGTTTACCAGAGGGTATCTGGCTTAGCTTCGATGACCACATATTGCTGAGTTCCTCAAAGGGTTGCTGTGGTCAAACACTTGCAGTGTTTAAGGAGCAAGCCAGAAAGGACGCCATAACACTACCATGATGGCATAGGCATTGTTCACTGACGTTTGTCGCCCATTCATGCCTGGAGAAATCATATAGACTGAGCATCTGGGCACAGTTGTTTTCAGTGAAACATATGTCCAGGATTCTCCCGTCCCAACAATATGAAAGTCATTTGGGACCATCATCCAAAGTAGGGATGGACAAACAAAATATAACATGTATGGTGTGTTCTGCTGCACCCCCACGGGCCTCAAAACGATTGTTTACCCATCTTAGTCCGCATATATATGTTGCTTATCCTTCCAGTTTTTTTTGGACATGTCAATCCTCCGTCAAATGATTTAAACATCATGTATATATATACACGTTGATATATACTGACGAATGTATATAAATGTATGAAGAGATAAACAAATAATAAATAGAACAATATAAATACACATAGAAACACAAAAATATATAATATGATTATCATTATTTTTGTTAGCATTATTATTATCATCATCAGTATTGTTATCATTATTATGATTATCATTATTATATATATATAAGTTCAATTTGGAGCTGGCTATGTCCTCATTTTAGCACTGCCACATATTGCTGAGCAAAATCTGTCACAAACTTCTTGCATTTTCCAGGAGGCCGCTGTGGGTGCCATGCTGCTATCGATCTTGCCGTCGAGTCACCGATGCTGCCGCCATAGGCCAAAGGTCCCAAGGGTATCCTGTGTTGTGGTTGTCATATGCAACTGTTGAGAACATGTGTGAACATCATTGAAAGTGCACTTCTCAAACGGTCATGCCGAAATGGTGTGTTTGATTCCGACCGTTTATGGGCTGGGATCGTCTTCAACCAAAGTAGGGTTGGATCGTAGACTATATATATATGTATACAGTATATTTACTATTTCACTATATATAGAAAGCATATATGTAGCATATACTTGATTAAATAATACATATATATACATTATGTATTCATTGCCTTCTGTATCACCTTATCATCATTATCAAGATCATAATTATAATGTACATACACTGTAACGAATAATGAAAAATGAATAATATCGCAATCATGTTGATAAATGTTGATAGTACACCCTTGAAGAAACCTTGTGCGGGATGATTGATATTGTAATCCTGCAAACAGCTAAACAACCCACTTTAACAAACAAGCTCCAAGGCTTTACCACTCAGTTGTGACCACTTGAAAAAATCACTTGAGTTGACCTCTGTGCTCGACATGGATATTGAACCAACGAATCAAATAGTCATGGATAAACAGAAAGCAAATCACCAAGTTTGGTATCTGTTATAATAGTTCGTTAATAATTCAGATTTCTTGGGGTGCTGTATTTCTGACTCGTGCCCTCAAAATGTGCTTGGGGTGCTTGGGAGGATGACATCAATGGCTTGGAAATGAATGGCCATGGATATAGACATGTTGGGCTTCTAGAATTCTGCTGGGTATGGATCCAAATTAGGCTCAAATGGATATAGAATTCCATGAAATAGTAGACTCTTAGTATACGTCTATGGATGTTGATGTTTCCAATTATATAGGCGTTCTTATTCTTTTTGGTGCTTACTTTCTTAAGTGTGACCCTTCTCGTTCCCCAAGTCATCCCTATACTATAGTAATTAACTATAATACCTATCCACGGCCGAGCGTCTCACTTCCGGCGGTGTACTTCAAACGCCAAGCGGGGAAAGTTTAGCAACTTCGTGATGTTTTTGCTGCCGACCGATCCACCTGCCAGCCACGGTTTTTCTAGGGGCCTTAAGGGATGCCCTTTTTTTGTTCCCTTGGGAGGTGGTGATACCAACAAAAAATGGAGAAACAAATGGAGAAAAGAAGATAGGGATAGCCATTTCTGTACCGCCCAACGGATAGCTTGAGGTATACCTCATCTTAAGAGTTGCATCCAAATCATCCAACAAAAATGGAGATTCAGCGTACGGCCAGCCCCTAAAAAAATCCTCTGGGTTTGCTAAGACTTCACCATCATGTGAAGCAATGGGTCAAACTCTTCACGAATTGGTGAACATCAAAAAGAACTGGACAATCAATATTCATCCATGTTTAAATCATCGAAATAGCTGGTAGATGGATATAAATGGATATTCAATGATATTCATCCCCATAAAACCTATCCCCATCAGTTTCCAATCAGTTTAACTCTGCATTCCCATCACTGCCTGCAGCAACGATGCTGAACTGGATTCTGTATCTGCTTGGTTTTCCTGCGGAAATGCATGATGTGCATCCCGGCGTTGACAGGAAGGGTCCACCCGAGTTACAAGTTGGTCTTGAAAACCATCTGCTGATATCTACATATCATAATATAATATACAACAATATATATATATTAAAATAATATATATATACACTGTATATATATATATTTATTATACAGTATATGTATATATTGTACATGTTGAGCGAAAAACTCATTTTGTCCAACTCCGTGCAGTTTTGCAACAGTCGGAACTTCCAAATGGAATACCCAAATCGCAGTGGGGGCAGTGCTCTGACCTGGCGAACCTTCCGGCCGCAAAGAACGTGCCAAATGACATACCCTCTGGTAAACTAACATAGCTATTGAAAATGGCCATTTATAGTGGATTTCCCCATTAAAAATGGTGATTTTCCATAGTTATGTTAGTTTACCAGAGGGTAAAACAAATAAATATACACATAAAACAACATGACTTGATGTGAAACCAGCCAGCCATGTGTTTTCTATATATATAATATACACTTATAGTAGATATTGCTGTAGCCACGCCCATGATTGAACAGGTTTTCAAAAAATCGGGTTCCATAGCCAGGGGTGACCCATTTTTCGCCAGGATTTGTGTCCAGGATTCGTCCTAAACGACCCCCCCCAGACACCATGGTTTAGTAGGGGATTTACACATATCTATGTATGTTTACAAATGTGATTATGTGTACATATGTATAATATGTATGTGTATAATATGTATATATATATATGTGTATGTACATGCATATATATATATATAATATTATATATAATATTGAGGACGATTGAGGAGGTGTTTTATCTCACGGGAAAAAACAAAAAATAAGTTTCATGTTATCCCATAGATAGATTTTGAAAAAACTGGTGTTGTTTGGCACATGCGGCTGGATTTGGCTGTTGTCGAGGTTGAGTTTAGGGAACCGTACTCATGCTGAAAACTAAAATGCTAGGTGGGAAAAAAAAATGAGACCAGTGTTTTCCTAAGTTATACTATTCTTCAGTTGTTCAGTTGTTCAATCATTAAGATATTAATCATTGAGTGGCTTCTTATTCTCCAAGCGTATACCCATTGTGTTGGTTACATCATGGCATCTCCACATAATTCCCCTCACCATCTACTGTTAGTTCATCAAATTATTCAATTAGTCAAGCATTCACAAATCATTGTCATCACTAATGTGGGTAAAACAATGTCATAACTTCTCCCCCAGTTATCACCATGTTTATAGGTGATATGTTTACCATTCCCAGTCATGGGTGGTTTATGGCATTGTTTTTCCCACTACTACTTGGTAATTAAGCAATACACCACCAATCCCCTCACTTCCATACAAAGTGCCGCCACCTGGTTGCTGTATTTTTCCAATAAGTTTTGATGGTTATGTTCTATATGGCCTATATGATTGTATGTTTGATGGTTAAATGCCAAGTTGCTCATATTTTTGTTGTGGTTAAATCTTCATTTCCCATATCTAAATCATGGTTAAATTATGTTGGATCCTAACTAATGTTCTTGGAAAACTTGGAAATTATAACATATAACTAGGAAAAATATATTGAAACCACCAACCATTGTTGAATCCTAACTAATGTTCCTAGTTATAAATTGAGACCCATATGTTTCTTGGTTCAATCATTTTCAATCCCAGAATTACCCGGTCCCCGGGATCCCCCTGCAAAATCCCCAGCTCCTTCGCCTGCATCTGACTTTTGGGCGTTCCACGCCCTGCATGGCTACAACCCAGCTCCACTGCACAGGGTGCCGTGCTGAAGCCGGGGGTGGTCATGGCCTATGGAGGCTTCAAGGGTGGAGAAATGGTGGGTTTACCCGGCAAAATGGTGATTTATCCATTGAACATGAGATAAATCTAGGGCAAATCATTAGATATGGGGGTATAAAACCCACAGTAGCCAGCAAATTGGGAGGCCAACGATGAGAACAACAACAATAGGAACACTAATTTAATGATAAGAAGAAGAGTCATGATCATGATATGATATGTTTGTTTTGTGACGTAACCATCAAGGTCCACTTAAGCATACACATAGTTATTTCACCTTTTGAATTCGAGATATTTCACGGGATATTTACATAATGGGAAAGCAAACGACCCACCATTTTATGAGGGAAATGGGATACATACAGAGACTAATTGTGGTTTAGTTCATGGATATGTCGAACTAGATAGATGGGTGTATAAAGCAACACACATGACTACATGTGGCCCTTCCTGTAGATCAATTGATGATTTTAACTTCTTGTATGGGTGTTTCCGACAATGGGTATACCCACAATAATTGCGATTTTAGGCAGGAAATTGAGGGCTTGGAAATGGGATTCATGAAGGAGTTTCCTTTACTTTCATAATTTCTGGATCATCATCCATAGGATTGAAGATGGAAAGTCTTGGAACCCCCAGAAAATGGATGAAAGTCAATGACAATTACCCTCTGGTAAACGTTTCAATACCTATAGAAAATCAACATGTTTAATGGGTAAATCCACTATAAATGACCATTTTCAATAGCTATGTTAAATTACCAGAGGGTAGCTTGCTAAGGGATTTCCCTCATAAAATGAATGCATGAGAGTGACAGTGACAAGCAACTGGCTGGGCAGACTCTGTTGCTGGCATCCAACCGGATCAACTGGCTACGAAAATAGCTTTGAAAAAATGGATATCCTCTATGAAATCCCGATAACATGGCTTTGACATGGTTTTGTACTCTATGAAATCCTACCGAAAAAAATCAGCAGATATCAGCAGTTTCAATGGGTAAATCAATGTCGCACAGAAATCCAGTCCCCCTTTGACCAGCTGACCTATCAATATTCAATATAAATTACATGTAAACTAATTTCTGGATATTTCTGGTGGTTAGACCTCCATGTTCGATACCTAAATCACCACGCCAAAAAAACAACACAATGGCTCCACCGCCTCAATACAGAACAACTTGGTGGGCGCCAGAAGCCTTGGACGGAGCTGACTTGGCCGCCAATTCACCACTTTTTTGGCGCTTGGCTGAGAAAAAGCCCCATGATTTTCATTTTTTCAGCGGAAACCTCAACAACATAGGCTGTTGAAACTTCAAAACACAAAACTGGTTGGTGGTATATCTACCCCTCTGAAAAATGATGGAGTTCGTCAATGGGAAGGATGACATCCCATATATGAAATGGAAAATAATCCAGTCATGTTTGAAACTACCAACCAGAAATGGGGATTCGAAGCAACTTCAGGATGGCAAAGGATGGTAACAATTTCAGAGACAGTTCTCATCGTGCCAAGATAGACCAAGCTGGTGTTGGAGTCCAACAGTCAATGACCTTCATGTAGGTTTTGACTTCTGAAACCCCGATTTCGATTGTGCGACTGCATCTGAAAAAGACGGTTGATTTTTGTTGTGATGCAACTGAAGCAGTAGATTCAGGATCGATAACATTGATTCCGTAGATAACAAATTGATTCTTTTTGAAAAACTCCGCAACCCAAGTTGTTTTTTTGTACTGTTTGTATCTTTTTTTTTGAAACCCCATCGAATGGTTTGTCACGAATGAAGTCACCTCCATCGAATCCCAAGTAGCTGCATCGATGGCGTGGAGAAATCCTCAATGTGGCAATGACTAAAGCCATCCAAGTACTACAAGTACTACAAGCAGGTGGATACTTAGGTGGATACCTCTCACATGTGGCCATTTACCCTCTGGTAAACTAACATAGCTATGGAAAATTGCCCATTTATAGATGGTTTACCTATTAAAAATGGTGATTTTTTAATAGCTATGTTAAATTACCAGAAGGTAATGTGGAAGGTTAACTATGTTAAGATGCAATGGCTTTGGAGGCATCCTAGTTTCAGACAAAGCCATCTGCGGCTTGTATTTTCAGGTTCAAGAAATGCCAACCTCATCGCTTGCCGAGAAAAACACGGCGCTTGGTCACCAGGGTTACTCCATTCACAACTGGGGATATATGTGGTTCAAATGTTCAATATTGCAATTACATTTCCTACTTGGTGGTTTCAACCCCTCTGAAAAATATTAGTCAGTTGTGATTATTATTCCCAATATATGGAAAGTTATAAAATTCCATGGTTCCAGTCACCACCAACCAGATACGGTGATGCCCCAAACTGTTTGCGAATCATCCCCATTCCATCCACAAGAATTGAAAATTGTTTCCCCAGTGTTACGCAACCCCCAAAAAGATACTGGTGATGATTTCCACGAAATAAACCAAAAAGATAGTGGTAACACTGGTAAATAAATAAATAAAATGTCATACTGGAACATCGCGAAATCCTGCAAAATACACAACTAGTAGTGATGATTTCCACTTATCGGCATCTTTTTGAGGAATACTTTCAGAGAATTGCCATAGATTCAACGCTTATCCTCTGGTGAAGTAACATAGAAATGGAACATGGCCCATTTATAACATTTATCGATGATTTACCTCTAGAAAATGATAATTTTCCACATCTGGAGCTTTCCTAAGTCATGGGGGTACCCCTAGTTATCATCCATTGAGAGATGGATTTTCCCTTTAAAAAAAAACATGTTTTTGGGGTGGTACCCCCTATTTTCAGGAAACCATCGAGTTGTGAATTTATCCTAGGCTACTCCCCAGCTTTTTGCGCCAAGAGTCCAAGCCCCAACTGGGAATCCTTGGCATGTTGAGGAGTTATTGGAGATATATCTACAGATGGGGTTACAAAGCAACTTATAACTAGGTGGCCCCACTACTGTATATATATATAATCATAATTGATCATATATATATAATTATACATATATATATATATACACATTAGTATGTTGGGTGCGTTTTGAGTTAATGATGAATGATGCACATGGGCGTTGATCAAAATAAAGGTATCTGTGGCAGCTGCAATCGCCGATCAACCGCGAATCAACCGCGATCCCAACGGTATCAGTCGCGGGAGTGTTCTTTCGTATACGACGCTATTTTGCGCAGAGACTTGTCAAAACATGACTGAGTATCACAGCATCTAGTAGACATGGCGTGAACCAGGGCCATACTCAGGCGGTTTGAACAATCGCGGATTAATCGCGGATCAACCGCAAACCAATCGCGAATTTCATCGACATTTTCTGAAAATTGAAATGATCTGGCTCATGAGACGACGAACTTTGTTGTTATGATTCTTCTTTGCTATCGGCTATCACTACGAACACAGATTCCAGGCAGACCCGAATGTAAGTCCAAAAACAACTTATAATGCGAATCATATTGGTGTCTCCTCTTGCAATAGTTGATTCTCATACAAGAAATGTTTGTCTCAATCGCGAACCAATCGCCGATCAATCTCCATGCAGGGTTCTACCATCGCGGATGTTGTAAACATAGGGATTTCACCTCAAATTTAACTTCAACACTAATGCAAATTCATCCGTAGCTAGCAATGATCGCATGTTGTAAGGATCTCAACTCTCCTCGGTTCCTTAGCTCCTGCCATATCCATGGCCAGACCTGTTTTGAAATCACAAAATAATCGGAACATCACTGGAATAAATTGTCCATGGTAACACAATAATGGTGCATAAACGCGGTCATTACATAGTGGGACCCCCAAGATAGCAAAAATTGTTTTTAACTGTGTTATTTCGATGGGGTTATAAATTTACATAATTTTTATAATTCATAAATCAACTTACAACTAGTGGCCCCCACTATGCAACTGACCTATCTCAACCTGGGGGAGTCCGAACCCTCCTTTCGTACAAGCGTCAAACTCTTCAATGCCTCGGCAGCTTGTTCCGCCGCCAAATTCATCAGCCTGGGATCGCGTTGCTGTTGGCAGCGTCACTGACCCTATTGGCCAGCATTTCAGTGCCCATTGAACTGATGTTTGCGGCGTTGAGGTGATTGACGTTTATATAGTTTTATGTAAAAAAAAAACATGCAAACACATTATTCTTAGGAGCCTGAAGAGGATCATGATAATAAAGATACCGCTAGTATCATGATCATCATCATATGAATCAACATCGTAATCTTGATTTCTTAAGCTGTCCATAATTACGTTAGAAACACAAATAATCCATCTATGTTTCAATGGTCATATGTATGGTTAGATGTTCCATATGTTCCACTATAAACCATCTATTTTGGGGTACCTCCATGACTATGGAAATCTCCAGTCATGACAGCCAGTTTCCCCGTTCAGAACGTCCTGTTCCAGTCCCAGAGTCGACTCCAGTGCACCACTCCAGGGTCCGCATGTTGCAACGGCACCAAAGAGGTATTTGCTCATGGCCTCATCCGCCAAAGAGCTTGGAAGCGATGAGGCAACATGGGAATACTGTGCGCGATCTTGCAAATAAGTCCATATAATTATTATGTAATATATATATATAGGTGACATGTGGATATATCACCATGATTTACATATAATCATGATATACATGTATATATATAATATATATATATATTACACACATTGTATTTACAGATATTCAGGCGGGCATGATATTGTCTTATGAAACAAAACCTGTTGCCTATCCAAGGTTTACTCAGAAATAACCACCAGTAAACTATTGAGGATGTCACCTACATGAGAGTCATGCAAAACAATGGTGTTCTGACAATCCCAAAAAGTCATGATTGATGACACCGATATATGGATCCGTTGGAAAATATATGGACTTGTAAACATACCTTGAAAACCAAGGTCATTTAGGTTCTCGGTCAGGTATTTGTCTAGGGATCAATCTATGTATATATGTATAATATATGTATTATATATGTGTGCATCTGTATAAGAGTATGCATATATAATTACACGCATGTGCCGCATGTGTGTATGTATGGCAAATACACACCATTTATATATTGTAAATAGGCATACTATGCCATGCCAATACTTACATATATATATATACATATGTATGTATGTATGTATGTATTTATGTATGTATGTATGTATGTATGTATATATGTATGTATGTATGTATGTATGTATGTATGTATGTATGTATGTATATAGGTAGGTAGGTAGGTAGGTAGGTAGGTAGGTGGGTAGGTGGGTAGGTGGGTAGGTGGGTAGGTGGGTAGGTGGGTAGGTAGGTAGGTAGGTAGGTAGGTAGGTAGGTAGGTAGGTAGGTAGGTAGGTAGGTAGGTAGGTAGGTATATATATATATATATATTGTACGTGTATATATATATATACATGTGGAGGTTTCCTGAAACAAGGGTACCCCTAAATTCCTAAATCATCCATTAAAAAAAGGATGATCCATAACAAAAACCATCCAGCTATTGGGTAGCCTTATTTATGGAAACCCCCATATATATATATATATACATATATCTATATATCCCAACTATTATAATCCTTATATAAACCAATCATCCATATACCCTTATTGATTTTGGGGTACCCTAAACCATCCACTTATTGGCTGCCCTTATCATTACATCAATCCCAACGTCCCAACTTTCGCTTGCCTTAGCACCTTCCACGATGGCATCCCCTATGGCCTCCGAGTGATCCAAAGCTGGAAAATCCCGCTGAGTTCGATAATCCGAAAAACAAACCTTCGTAGGATGTCCATAATCTGGTTGGTGGTATACCTACCCCTCTGAAAAATGATGGAGTGAAAGTCAGTTGGGATGATGAAATTCCCAATATCTGGAAAGTCATGAAATTCATGTTCCAAACCACCAACCAGTAGTGTTTTTCCCATTAAAACCTCAAGTCATAGAAAATGAGCCATTGATTTACCAAGATTTAGCTACGAGTACAATGACGATTTTTCCGTAGCACACTAGCACAAATTACCAGAGATTGTGCTACAAAAGCCAAGGCCTTTTACGAACGATAGGCATCCAGGCAACTGAAAAGGAATGTATGTCGGGCTTTCTCATGAATAATATAATATATATATGGTTAACAACAAAAACTTTGACTAGTTAAAGAAACCAAAATAATGATTGAACTGAAAGGAACGAGCTTACTCAAGCCACAACAATAATGATGAATTCACTTAAACAACAACTAATATAGATAAACTCGGTTAAACATATGATGTAACAAAACAGCTATCAATATTTGACCAACAAGACAGCAAAATAATTTGCAACATCAGGCGGTTAATGCAAATGTGTGCAGTGTTGTTGCTAGTCATTTCAAAAACTATGACGGGACAGTAGTTGCACCCGGAAATTCTACCTGGCAATGTTGTAATGTTGATTCATCTACAAGCAGGAGGTTTTTTCTTTGGACGTGTTGATCTACCAAACAGGTCTCTACCAAACAGGTCTCTATTCGACGCGGAAAAGCATCTACTGGTATGATCCACCAAGCATATGGATACCCTGGTACCATCCCCCTACCCTAGCAGTGAGTAAGTTCTTAACCCAACTGTAGCTGGGATACACCCTACATGTAACTGGGTTACCATCCGGTCATCAAACATGGCATTGGGAAATCCCCGAACTAAATGGTCATTTAAGATATTTAAGTGAGAAGATATTTCCAGCAAGGCATGTTTGATTACGAGAAAGTAACCATTTACTTTCCCATTGACGCATACTAAATCATATCAACATAAAACAGGGGAATATATTCACCAAAAGTATCGGCATGAATATATCATTAAATTGGTATTATAATGTTTTATATCAATTCATATCAAATTGCTATCATATTATACCCCCTGAACAATTCAACTAAATCACATTCAATCATACTAATATCCCACAAGAACCAATCAAATTCTCATTAAATCACACTAAATCATTTAAATATCCCATTATATCTCCATCAAAAATCCCAAACTCCCATTAAAATCATATTAACTAATATTAAATCATATTAAATCCCATAAAATCCCATTCAATTATATTAAATCTCCAGAAGTACCACTTTTCCCAAAACTCACCTCCAACAGCCCCAGAGTTTCCCGACGTTCACCAGCCAGTCGGTGCTCAAAGAGAGAGTCATGGACTGCAAAGCCGCTGATCTTATAGATACCACATCCCCCTTCATCCCCTGCCCATATGCTGGTATATTTACCTACAAAACTGTTAATAATGGTTAATGATGGTTTAATAATGGCGAATGATGATTAATGATTAATGGTGATTTTCATATCCCATATGCGAACCATGGTGCGGGTATATACAAACCTACAAAACTGGGTGTTTTTGTTCGGGCAAATTGGCAAATGTTAGTAAGTATTCCAGCAGCATGGTTCGCATATGGCCTATGAAAAGAACACATCAGAGCCTAAACGGAACCATTTGAGGTTCAACAAGACATGTTAAGCTCGCTTATCCACGAACAATAGGTGTTTACCCACGACCTATGGCAGGAAACCAAGGAGAAAACTGCCGGGGAACTACCCGGATGATCGGGAAACTGGCTATACAAAGGTAAAATGTATATAACATGTTCACACCAATGCAGGTACATATGTGATAATAGTGTATGTTTGTAGATATATATATATATATACACAAGTGATATGTAAATATATATATATGCATACAATCACATATGTATACAGTATACATATATTCGATTCTATGTATAGAAATTAGATCTACCAGGTCATAGCCAGGTCTAGGCAGCAGCACCTTGGGTAGTGCAAAGCCTTGAACATCCACATCAGTGTAGAGGTTCAGTGCAGCTGCAGAACAGAGTTCAATCGTGTTCACCTCACCCGGCGCGGCGTGTTTCCCTGATTTTTTGGAACTGGAATGGGTGGATATCAACCACAAAAAACCTCGGGATATTATGGATTGGAAAATATTGGAATACAGGTCTGTATATATGATTTACCCTCTGGTAAACTAACATAGCTATTGAAAATGACCATTTATGGTGGATTTACCCATTAAAAATTGTGATTTTCAATAGCTATGTTAGTTTACCAGAGGGTATTATGATTTTACATCCTGATGAACAGGTCATATGTCCTACAGTTTGAAACTGGTAGCAGCCCGGTGAAGAAATAAATGGGCCTCGGATATCTCTGTTTTCAATCCACCTTGCTGACCATTTGACAAGTAGTGTGACTGACCGGCGAAGCAAATACGAGAGCATGTTTATCTACTCAACAAAAACAAGGGATTTTGGGATTCCTTGAGAGTATAGAATCTGGAATTGACAGGACCCAACAAAAGTTGGAGATGAATGAAGATGGCCGTGTCTGAAAATAAGGTACCCCCCAATTGGATGATAATCGTCATCTTGTTTCCCATTAACATTGCCCTCTTTGGGTATACTCCACTTTCAAACACATCCCATTAGTCATACTACCGGTTCTATATGACATTCCATTGTATCCTTTGATAAATTGCCCTCTGGTAGTGAAACATTGCTCAAAAATCCAACATTTAGTCAATTTACTTCGATAATTTTACCAGCTATAAACCTTCATGGCTAGTTTGGGGATTTGCCAGCCACGTTTGATGACACCGGAGGGTAAAAGAAAAGGCGCGTCGGCGACTGACCCAGGACATCACGTTGCCGCTAACTTCCATGTGCGTTGCTAGAGATCTTGGTTGGGATATCAGGAAACCTGGCCAAAAACATGTCCTTTACATCTGTGTAATACCGTAGTAATTATCGTCCAAACTTTTTTTTCTTAGGTCAATCGATTTATGACTACTGCTCCACCGGGATTGGGAAGCAGCCACCGCCCGAAAACGCTGGTGTCTCTGACAGAAACCTAAATCCAAAGTCTTCATGTTCTATATTAACAATTGTGTTCAAATGTTCCAAAGATCAAAAACACCAAAATACACCATCAATCATCTATAAATGAATGAACATGTTGGTTGGCAAAGCTATTATTTTTGGTTGGGCTACTATTCTTGGTTCGGATAAATCACAATTGTCAAATATTCAATTTTCCAACTACCATTTCCGAATCATAGTCTAGTTAAATCATAGACTATCCCAGCTTTATACCTCTGTCTACTGAATCTACTGTATGATTTCCAAAGATATTTCCCTATAGACCACTATGTATCCTTCCCTATATACCCACTATAAATCCACTGTATATCCACCATTTTTCTTTGATGAGATCCCGAGCAACGAAAAATACCGACGCTTCCCACCTTTTTGTAGCACTCCGCTGAGGTCCAGCCAAAGTTCTCACCGCCCAGGCCGTCCTGAGACCAAGCGCTTTGGTGCTTTGAAATCCTTGTTTTAGACATGAATATATATATATATATATGTATATATATATATTATACATGTGTATATATATATATACAATGATATACACATTATGATATATACAGTATATATATATATATGTACATGGATGAATAGATCTCTATAGTGTGTCATAAATGAATATCTAATGTGAGCATATAATATAACTTGTACACCCTCAGGACGCTTGGTTGGCCATTAAATATAGAACATATAGAACATATACATATATATATGTATGTGTGCGTGTGCATGATTCATATGGGATAAGGAATGGATAAGGAGGGTGAACCCACTTCCAACTGGGGTTATAACCCATTTACCAAGTGGGATGAGCCACCAGGGATGTATGATCACTGATCAAAGTTGCGCGCCTGATCTTCTTCGGAGGCCTCGCGCATGCCACAGCACATGCCCGTATTGAGGTAAACCACCTGGTGACAGGCCTGGCTTGCGATATATGCGATATGAAAATGTGGGATTCTGCTGGGGTTCTGCTGGATTCTGCTGGGATTTTTACTCGGATTCTATGGGATGTTGCTAGGATTTTACGGGGATTCTGCTGGGATGTTGCTGGGAATTGGATGGAAATGTCATGGGACATGGGAGTTAAACATCAAACATGTGGGCATATAGTTGATGTAGTTCAAAATCTACCTTTCTCTATGACTAATCTTTGGCACCTCCCTGAAGCTACAATAGGTTGGAACAACCCGGGAAAGTTGGAAAGTTGGAATGGGAAACTCAGGACATGCAACGTTTTCCCGCGGATTCTTCTTTCAATTCCGCGATATATCAGCCATCTATGATTGATAGACACATAGTATGTCCTAATATAATGACCCACAAATAGAAAAGTAGCTGCTCCCGATCTAAGTGAGAATCTACAGTACTCTTCTATCCTTTTTGGGGGTTGCTTGAAAACTCCATGGCCAACCATAGCGGTAATCTATGGCACTAGGCGAAGAAACAGTGTCTCCACACCTCGCTTTAACAGTGTTCCAAGTATAGCTTGGTGTGGCTACACCCCCAACTCCCCAACTCAGTGATTCAAGGCTGTAAAGGCGCATGCAAAGGCTCTATTCCCCTTGCAATTCTTTGAACTGCTTGGCTCAATTCATCACTATATAATACTACGTACCACCACATATATAATTATATATCAGGAATTATAAGGATGAATAATTTGCAAGTAGCTAAGGTACATCTTGACTTGCGACTACCGTAAATAATTTGTTATGTTCTCCACATCTACAAATCTAAGGTAACTCTCGCCTCATCATTCTGGCAAAGGTTCAAGCAGGTCTCCCAAGATCCCACATTGGCGCAGTAGGCATGACCACCCAAAGCCATCCTAAGCGCTGTTGGCGCGCCTGCAACGCAATGGATTTGGCCATATCTTTGGATGAAAAACTTCCTGCATTAGTTAAATCATCTTAAAGCCCTATGATTGATAGCTACTTTTTTTTTGCATAAACCAATTCATCTCCATCATTCCCTTAGCCTGGTTGCAGCTGAGCTGCGACACGTGGTTCCCCAGCCACTTCTTTCGCCAGTCGGGATATACCGTGCACTCCCGCTGGCCCGCTGCCCTTACCACCTGACCAAAGGGATGAAGCAACTGGCCCCGGCTAAAGAGATTCCTTAAGCGTTTGGGGATGTGAACCAATATCAATCTTGGGACACTAGATCACACTAGTGATATGCTTCTGTAAGTTGTTAAACAAAAAAACAACTTGGGAGTATAATCTAAACATACTGGTAGCCATTTCAGTAAAGAAAGTTTCGATCAATTGCTGGATTTGGGGTGTGTAAACCACTGTCTATGTTCACATTTCATGTGGGCATAATATTGTTTGGTATGCTGGGTGTGAATATGGGTACCCTCTGGTAAACGTTTACATAACGATGAAAACTCATCATTTTTAATGGGTAAACTCTGGTAAACGTTTACATAAACTATGGAAATCATAGAAATAACTCTGGTAAACCATAGAATCACTATTTCTATGGCCATTTTCCATAGCAAACTGTTCTTTACTTTGGGTGTACCGATTCCTCCCAGAATTGGATGTTGAGTATTGCATCATTGCATCCCTAAATTGGGCATAAGTTCTCGGGTTTATCATATTATATCATATTATTGGGTACATAGACCCTCACCTATGGGGGTCTTAATAGTGGGCATATTATCTAGAGTCATGGAGGTTTCAATGGAAAGATCATCCATAAATTCAGGGGACTTTACAGAAATTTATAACATCGTATTAAACTAGGGGGTTCAGTCTCCACAATGGAACTACTTTTGTAGCAAATCGTTAAACCACCAAGCATCATTTATCAAATGTATCTCCAGATGTATGATGCCTAAAATCACCTCAATGGTCAATGATGGTGAATTTTCATGATAGAAGTAATCAGTATGTTGTTTTGTTGAATCCAAAAATAATCAAAGTGAGTCTATATATTTTTTGAACCATTAAACCCACCATAAGCCCACCATAAACCCACCATAAGCCCACCATTTTTGACGAGTTAAAGCACGCCTGTTGCGCCTCCTGCAGCATCGCTGCACTGGCACTGGCGGAGAAGGCCATGGTGGCCTGACCTGACAGTGAGATTGAATGGCTATTTTTTAAACTACATTGGTATATGTATCATATATATATAATGTATATATATATATACACGTACAGTAAATACATATTTGTACACAACTTAGATAAAATTGGATTTGATAGGCATATATGCATTGTGTGGTGTATCAATATATTTTGAAATGGGTATGAATCAAGACCCTGTTACCCTGCTGTTCACACCAAACTAGCTGCGATTTATGGAGATTCATCCTTCCCATTAAATCATATTAAATCTATTGTATAATGGGTTTTAACCATTTTAACCAATCCTCATTATCCAGATGATTCCCCTTATATATCATCATATTCACTATTTCATTGGCTTCACGGTTTGCTTATCCCCAACCAGGCTGCATAAAAACCCTGGATCCATCCCAGCCTCCGGCCTCTCTACATGAACCGATTACAAATCATATCAAATAATACAAGTAAATAATTACTGGACTAAGCTTATTAACCCCATCTCCAATCAGTACTTGATGAAATTTGATGATATTTGATGTAGATTGACTAATTGACTTTCTGATTTCAATGAATATTTTCCAAACACCGTGGCTGCCACCAGCGCTAAAAAAACTACCAGAACTACCCGGTAGGCCATGGCCTCTCAACTCGGCGTTCATCATAGGGTTCACCGTCATCGGCACCTGCCGAGTCCATCTGAACTGGTATTGACCGTTTTTTGTCCGACAGTTCTATGGCATTTTTGCTTAATGAATATCATGAATATGATGTTCATTCATGTTTATTAGGGACTACAGGGACTAAAGATTTTTTAAGTCATCCCCATATCTGTATATTTGACATATGAATAGAGATTAATACACAAAGACCCAATATATTCAACATATACTTGTCCCCATCAATTGAACAATGAATCTATTGTCATTATTATTCACAAATAAGCATGGGATAAATGCACTATACATGGACATCCATTAGTTCACCATTAGTTGTATTATATATATATAGACTGACAATAGCTAACTAAATTATATGATTAGATATGATTTGCTATATGGTAAAGCTCTTTATCACCATATTAATTAGATATATATATATATATATATCATGTTATCACCATATGATTAGTGATTAACCATAAAACTATCAAACAATAGGTATACTAATGACTAACCAATTGTCCCAATAATTGATTGATATTCACTAGTATTATTAAATTAATGGGTAATTAAATATCACCATTGATACTATGTAATGGGGATATTGACACTATATCCCATTGACTAATATCAATATTCACTATTAGTATCTTATGATATTATGTGGTGATAACATATTGGTGAACACTATAAATGGAGATATTTTGATTTTATTTATATATAATATACTTTTATTCAGTATATACTTATGTATATATAAATAAAATCTATTAAACAAAGCTAGTTTCATCCAAGTATGTATATACATACAGATTATGTTTTTTCTATATAATATTGTGTTTCATCCTTTCATAATATGTTCTACTATAATAGTGGTTGGTAAATCATATATAAACAATAATTACTCATTATCATAATATGATTATGCAGGATATTCACCATTACTTTAAAGTTCATCATGAATATATAATATATAAATATATAAAAATCCGTGAAACAAAAACTCTACTATTCATTCAAAGGCCCCCTGGCCTTATTCAAAGGGATGCTATTCAGCTTTGCAAAGGTCAGAGGCAATTTGGCTACAAACAGGCAACAAAATGCATTGAGGTAGCCCAAAATCGAAAATATTGGTCATACTTTAATTTAAAATAAAAATAATAAAAACAAAAATGTAATTTAAAAAAAAAAAAAAATCATAAGTTTCTTTGGGCCGATTTTTTGCTTCCAATACTACTTTTAGAAGGGGGCAGGGCACCCTTCTGCTCAACGACCTCGTCCCACACTCCACAACGCAGAAAAACATTTTTTTTCAAAGATGTTTTTTTTCATATTTTTGTTTGGGCCCAATTCCATTAATTTTAAAATATCATAAAACAAGATAAATTGAAATAATTTAGCAACAAGACTCTGATTAGCACCCCTTTAAATAGAGCCCCAGAGATGGAGAAAGAAATATGGAATCTATTAAAAAAAACAGTTTCATTATATGTTCAACCAATATAAGTAACTATATATTTATTATATATCAATGTATAACTAACATGTACAACTATAATAGTATCATAAAACCATCGATTATATTAACCATGAATTGATAAATTCACTATTAGTGATAAAAACCATCATTACACCAATCGTATTCACCAATATTCATCAATCATGACAAAATTCATGCTGAATTGTTTTTAAATTTAAAAACTAATATCATTAACCAACTATATTCAAAATTCACTGTATCACTATCAATATTCAGTATTTATACTATATATTAGATTCATATATCACTATTATATGGTGATAAAACCACATATATAAACTATCATTATATCAATATCAATATTAGCGATACTATCCCATAGTTCATGATGATCATAAAAATCATATATCATACTTCATAGTTACTTCATTTACCAATATCAATATAAAATCCATTGACCATTCACTATTAGTGTTGATTATAGATTCACTGATGACTACTAATCTGGTTGGTGGTTGAGCCCTACCCCTCTGAAAAATGATGGAGTTCGTCAGTTGGGATCATTAGTCCCAATATATATGGAAAAATAAAAAAAAATGTTCCAAAAGCATAATTAATAAGTAAGATAATTAGATTCACCAATAGTAATCTATAGTGATGAACCATTGATGTACCAATAGTATCTATCAGTGAATCACTATAGGGGATGTACCATTTATGTACCAATCAGTAATTTCACTGATGAATAGTATAATTTAGATCCACTGATGATTATAGATTCACTAGATTAGTGTTGATTAGATTCACTATTATAATTAGCCAAACAGTTATGGTTAATCATGGATTATAAACTAATAATATATAATCATGGTTAATATAATGGATAGATTCACTATCCATTGACTATAACCTATTAACCATTCACCAATTATGGTTAATCTTTAGTTCAATACTAGATTCACTGATAAATACCATAGATTCACTTCTCTATTACCCATTCAGCAATTCACTAGATTAGTTAATTTTGATCATCAACACTAACAATCTATAATCTAACACTAATACTTAACCATGTTGATTATGATTATGAATCACTATTATTATCTGGTGATTTAACCCATGATAATCCTGCTATTACCCCCTATGACAATTAATGATAGTTAATGATAATCAACACTAATAATCAACACTAATATTAGATTAACTGGTTATTATAGATTCACTAGATTAGTGTTGATTAGATTCACTATTATCCATTAAAGATTCACTATTACTTCATTTATAGTTGATTTACCAATTAAAATTGTGATTTTCCATAGTTATGTTACCTTACCAGAGGGTAAGTGATTTATCCCCTATAATAATTAATGATAGTTAATGATAAGCACCACTAATAATCATTAAGCATTTACATAAACCATTAACCATCAGTTAAGTACTACCGTAGATGGACGAAATATTCAAACCCCTTCTATCCTGTACAACCCCTTCGCCCCCAAAGTTCAATGTTATTGTAACCTGAAATGCGTTAGCCCCAATGGACGAAAAAAATCAAACCCCTAACATCACTTTTGCTAACGCGCGCGATGAAACATTGAGATTTGGGGGTGCGGGGGTTCAACATATTGCGTGCTGCAGGGTTTGAATATTTTGTCCATCTACTGTCTGGTTCTCTGATGTTTTCACATCTTTTGGTCTCCAAACTCTGTTGTGGAAACATCAATGTGCATGCTGCTGATCTTATTCCAAACTGCGCAAAACATTGGCTTTTCACAAGTAAATGCCTCCTGTCTGTCTCCCGTCCCATTTTTTTCTATTCCCTAATTCGCAACTTATTCCTAAGTGCATGTTTTGTTTTCACAGGTAAGTGCAACCTTTGTGCCTCCCGTCCCATTTTTTTCTATTCCCTAATTCGCAACTTATTCCAAACTGCAAAAAACATTGTGTTTTCACAGGTAAATGCTGCATGTGTCTCTCGTCCCATTTTCCCTATTCCCTAATTCACAACTTATTTCAACATGCGCAAAACATTGTGTTTTCACAGGTAGATGTGCATGCCTCTCTCGTCCCATTTTTTCCTATTCCCTAATTCACGACTTATTCGTTTGACGTGGCCCTGCCAATGGATTTTGCAACTTGAACAGCATGAGACAGCTCCCAATTAAAAAAGGAAATATTTTTCTCTTAAAAAGAAGCAGCACGTCACAAATAACAAAATCCAATGGCAGGGCCACGTCAAACGAATAAGTCGTGAATTAGGGAATAGGAAAAAATGGGACAAGAGAGGCATGCACATCTACCTGTGAAAACACAATGTTTTGCGCATGTTGAAATAAGTTGTGAATTAGGGAATAGGGAAAATGGGACGAGAGACACATGCAGCATTTACCTGTGAAAACACAATGTTTTTTGCAGTTTGGAATAAGTTGCGAATTAGGGAATAGAAAAAAATGGGACGGGAGGCACAAAGGTTGCACTTACCTGTGAAAACACAATGTTTTGTGCACTTAGGAATAAGTTGCGAATTAGGGAATAGAAAAAATGGGACGGGAGACAGACAGGAGGCATTTACTTGTGAAAAGCCAATGTTTTGCGCAGTTTGGAAGAAGATCAGCAGCATGCACATTGATGTTTCCACAACAGAGTTTGGAGACCAAAAGATGTGAAAACATCAGAGAACGAGACAGTACCAACTGGGGTGTGCGGCAAAATGCCGCACACCCGAGTTGGTACCGTAGATGGACGAAATATTCAAACCCCTTCTATCCTGTACAACCCTTCGCCCCCAAAGTTCAATGTTATTGTAACCTGAAATGCGTTAGCCCCAATGGACGAAAAAAATCAAACCCCTAACATCAACATTTTTGCTAACGCGCGCGATGAAACATTGAGATTTGGGGGTGCGGGGGTTCAACATATTGCGTGCTGCAGGGTTTGAATATTTTGTCCATCTACTGTCTGGTTCTCTGATGTTTTCACATCTTTTGGTCTCCAAACTCTGTTGTGAAAACATCAATGCGCATGCTGCTGATCTTCTTCCAAACTGCGCAAAACATTGGCTTTTCACAAGTAAATGCCTCCTGTCTGTCTCCCGTCCCATTTTTTTCTATTCCCTAATTCGCAACTTATTCCTAAGTGCACAAAACATTGTGTTTTCACAGGTAAGTGCAACCTTTGTGCTTCCCGTCCCATTTTTTTCTATTCCCTAATTCGCAACTTATTCCAAACTGCAAAAACATTGTGTTTTCACGGGTAAATGCTGCATGTGTCTCTCGTCCCATTTTTTCCTATTCCCTAATTCACAACTTATTCCTAAGTGCACAAAACATTGTGTTTTCACGGGTAGATGTGCATGTCTCTCTCGTCCCATTTTTTCCTATTCCCTAATTCAGGACTTATTCGTTTGACGTGGCCCTGCCAATGGATTTTGCAACTTGAACAACATGAGACAGCTCCTAATTAAAAATAGGAAATATTTTTCTCTTAAAAAGAAGCAGCACGTCACACATGACAAAATCCATTGGCAGGGCCACGTCAAACGAAT